TCCCCTTCCCCTTTTCGTGCTTTTCCGCCCACGGTCGTGTTCCATGTTTGAAATTAATTTTATTCACACAAAAATTCTCGCGCGCATACAATTTCATTAAGCAAATATTTTCGTCGCCCTCTGGCGTTACCTCTTCTGCCACGCCTCTACTCCAGTTCATGACACGCCCCCACACACACACACACATCATACATTTTGCCGCCTTCGGGATAAAAACAACACAAAGTACAATACACCAAAACAAACCCAAATCAGAAGGCGTAGCTAAGGCCACAGAGAGTTGTACGTTGAACTTGGTGTATTCCAGAATTCCGTGGGCGTTTCTCAGCTTATTGTTACAATCCAGGAGTATTTTTTCATAGTCTTAGCATTTAAATTAAAAAGGAAACTTAAAAAGAAGGTCTTCTAGATAACTTTAAGATGGCATACAAAAGAGTCTTTAAATTGAACATTAAATCAAAGAAGAAACTGATTAATGAACCTGTAAAATAATTTATTTTTCTTTAACTTAAAATATTATTAATACATAGGTTAATTGACTAATTATTTGGATTATTATGAGTCTTAATTTAAGACCAATTAATAAGTCTAACTTTATACCAAACATTTTTATAAACATGACAATTTCCAAGAAGACCTTTAAGCGTACCAAGAAGACTGTTTTATTAACTTTAACTTTATCTTCTCCTTGAACTTTTTGTCTTTCCTGTGAGATTTTCTTTTCAATTTTTTTTCCTTTTTTGGTGAGTTAACGACGCGCAGCATTTATACGATTTTAATGCCGCGAGCGGTCGACAAGAAACTGAATCCTTGCACCCACCACCACCCACTCAAATGAGCCGCTCATAAAACGGGGCATATAACAAATGATAGTCCCGGCCACGCCCATTGCTACTCCAACAACTCCAATCCTCCTACCAAAACACACAAAAAAAAAAGATAGCACAATTAATGCATTAAAAAAGCAGGAGGCTGGGGTATGAGGATAAAAAGCGAAAAAGCGAAACATTTGCAAGGCCAATAAAAATGCCATTTAATGACGCCTGCAAATTTTCAAGCCTCAAATAATCAGCATAAAAATGAACAAAAATGCTGAATATAAAATTAATTGAAATATTCCACAGAGACACAGAGAGAGAGAGAGACAGCGAAAGAGTGAGTGAGAGAGATAGAGAAGAGCATTTAATACTCGTGTATAAAACATTCCGTGAAGTCAAATGCCAGGGATTTTGCAAGAGCGATTGACAGGCGAATTGTGATTGCCATTGTGATTAAAATGGGAAACGTTTCAAACCGATAATGAGCCAAACAGTAGCGAGGTGAATCGGTAAATGTTGCTCAATGGATTAAAAGGGGGAAACCCTTCAATTAAATTATTTATGTACTAAAGGCAATCGCAAATGGTTTAAGCACATTGCCAAATTGAATTTCAATTTAATTTCGATTATTGAAATATCATAAATATCTGCTAAAGTTCTCAAGTTCAATTTGCAATTATTTTTTCAATCATGATGGAAAAATCCAGAGATTAATTATGAAATTATCATTTTTTGTTACCCAAAAATAATGCTTAAAAGTGTTTTTTTTTTAAGAATACTGAAAAACTTCTCAATATATTTGTTATATCCTTGAAAATGTTGGATTCTGGATTGTGAAGTTCAAGAAAGGCAAGCACTCAGGACGACAAACCAATTAAGGAAAAGGACACAAAAGACCAAATGGTAGGGGTATGTAAGTAAGTAAGAGATGAAGAAATGAATGAAGGTAGAAGGGAAGTACGACTGAGCGAATCAGTTTCCCCATTCGTTCCAAGATGCTGCTCTGTCCAGCTTATTGGCTCAGTTGTTGTGTGAAGAGGGGGGGCGGCAGTGGGGGTTGTTGGCAGTATGATGCCGGTAGTCTCCTTAGATTCCCCCACTTCGCCCATTCATTCTTACATACACTCCCCGCTGTACAGCATTCCTCCATCCATCCATCTCAATTTACTGCGTGAGACTTTTGTCAACGCACGGCGAGAAAATGAATGCCAGAAAGCCCAAGCGGAAAAAGAAAAAAAAAGAATGACAGAAGGAAAATGGAGAAAAACTGGCAGGGGGGGCTGGGAAATAAGAAATAGTAGGAGTGGCAAGAGTTTGGCAACTGACATTAGGCGGACACTGTAACAGCCGTAAAATTTGTATCCAAAAAAATTTAGATTAAATGAAACTACTACCAAATGAAAATACTACCAAAAATAGGAAGTTTTTTAAAAGTTTTTATGTTTTTGTCTAGACATTTAAGTAATATTAACATATGAGTTTAATAACTATTAAACGTTACCTCCTAGAACATAAACATAAATTTTTATATATCAAAAAGGCCTTTCTTCCTGCTTATTTTTATTCCAAGTGTAGATAAAACAGAAGCCGAACGAAACGGAACACGGAGAAAAAAAAAGTGTTGCCCAAAAAAGCAATTTATGCGGGTCCCTGCCGTTTTCTCCCGCTTTTCCTTCTATACTTCACTTCCCTTCTCGCTTTCTCTTGTTGATAGCTCAGGCCACAGTGTTACACTTGTGTGCATCAGTGTGTGTATATATGTGTATGTGTGTGTGTGCAAACATAAACAACAGTTACGCTGGAACAACGAGCAAAGTTGCATTTCCGCTGTAACCGTTTTCCGTACAGGAAATGCGTTCGACGCGTGTTTGAAATATTGGGCCCGAAAGTCTCTCTCCCCCTGGATTTTCCCCCTCCACCTTGGCTACCCTAGGCTTTTCCTCTGGTTTTTAACCCACTACCACCCCCTCCACCACCCTTTTTGTGGTCAACTTCCCTGTCCAGTGGATTTTGCTGCCGGTCCTTCGAAGCTCGCCAAAAACCCAGTTTTCATCTCATTTGAGCGAGCATTTAATGTTCAGCCTTCGCGGGAAAACTGCACCAGGAAATGATTCTTAATCCCCACGATTTTCCACCCAAAAACCTTCTACGATCGAGGAATGCTAGGGGCGCGGTGAAGGTTGGTTGGTTTTTCCGCAAAACGGTTTTTGTTGCTGCATGGCAAATCATGCGTAATGGAATTGAAGTAGCAAAAATTGTTGAACAAATTTTGGCGTCAAATTAAATTTGTTATAAACAATAAGGTGGGGGGATAGTTACTAGCTTACTTACTTACCTTTATGAGAAATTGGGAAAATGCAAAGTGAGCTTAAAATAGCGAGTAATTCTTATTTTTATAGATTTTTATAGATTTATTTAAGAGCAGGTTAAAGATTTCAGATATGTTAGCAAAGTTTAAGTTTCTTATAAAAGAAAAAAAACTTTTTTTTCTTTTCTGTTAAACAAAACAATTTTCATGAATTTCCAATCGATACACCTTGATTGCCATACAACTTTCTTGTTTTCCACAGATTCTCACCTTGGCCAATTGCGATTTTGATTCATGCCCTTTGTGTTTTCCTATGCTGAAGTTTGCCCCTTGGCCGAGATTCCAACTGTCCAAAAAACAAAAAAAAAAAAGAGAAACAGAAAGGTGTCCGAAAGGGCTGCGCCCATTTTCACACCTTGGCCACGCCCTAGTGCCACACCCACTTCACCGGCTGCATACGAAATGCGCAACACATTGGCTGCACTTGAACTGAATTCCCCAGCGCTTCTTGTTGTTTTTCCTTCCTTTTGTTTTCCCTGCCGCTTGTCTAAGCCACTTGACGGCCTTTTGACCGCCTTCCTTTGGCAATGGAAAATCGTGAGGAAAATTGCGTGGCAGCCGGGAGGGTTTGCAAAAAAAAGAAGAAGAAAAAGAAGAAAAAACAACAACAACAAAACAAAAAAGCAAGTCAAGCGCCTTCAAATATGCTGTCCTTGCTGTCCTTTAGAGCATCCTTAATTGCCGCGCCTTCGTCGGTTTTCCGCCTTCCGGCGTTTTCATTCAACGAACTTTGTAAAATGTAGCTATGTTGCAAAAATATTGGAATGTGTATCAGTGCTATCTATGATGCTAAACAGTTCCTAAAAACCAATATAAAGTTATAGTTAGTCCCCTTAAATTGTTTTCAGCAATTACCAAAGTTTGTTTGGTTTTAACCTTTTGAGAGCGACAAGTCTAATGATCGGCTTTTCGGGTTTTCATCTTAATTGTTCGGGGGAAGCGGGGGCCCACGGTGAATCGAAATGAAAACTAAACAAATTCTACGCTTCTATGCATTTCAATCAAAGCGAACTTCAATCGTCGATGACAGAGTTGATGATGGGGCCTAAGCCGCTTAGGCTTTTGCCCATGGAAACACACCAATAGAACACCGAATAGCCACCAATAAGCCACCCAACTGGCAGACCTCTCTCTCTCTTTCCTCCCTCTAACCATCAGTTTTTGGCATTTTGGCAAAAGCGATTAATTTCGAGTAATTGCAACTTAATGAAAAGCATTCAATTGTGCAAATTAATGGGAATGTCTTCGGCATTCTGATTTCCAGACAACCAGATGTGTGTTTTAGTGCCTGTTAATTAATGCTTTGATGAACCGCACTCAACCAACTCTTAGCTGTTTCTGTTTTCCACCTGCAAAAGGCCAAAAGATCCCTATGCTTCCTTCGCCAATCCCCCCGCCACTCCCCTCCGGAACCACCTTCTAGACCTCATTTTCATCTGCGGCACTTGCGGATTTTGGTCTCGAAATTGTAAGCGATTGCCGTTTGGCCATTGGTTCGGAAATACCAAATCGGTTTATCGTATCTATTTGCCTATTTAGGCAGAAAATTATGTCAAGGAATACGATTGCGAAACTCTCTAAGCTAAATGGCTTAAGGTTTACCATTTACTTGGCTTAAAAACAAAAAGCATTTAGCATTTAGCCAATTCAAAGATCTGCCTTGCAATGTGTCAGGTCAAGGGAAATGTTTACATTTTGAATTTAATTTTAATTGAAAAAGCTGTAAGTTGGATTCTTACACAAGCTTAGAATGTTGTATATTTTTAACCCCTTAATATACCTTAATAATCCGAACTTATCTTATCATTTTCCAGCTTGATTGATTGATAGATTGGTGAGGCTAGGACCGGGGCAAAAACAGCGACCAAATGCAAGATGAATCCGGATCAACCGATGTCAATGCAAACTGGGGCGCCGCCACCGCCGCCCTCGCAGCTGACCACTCATACAATCGCCGCGTCCATCGTCACCGCTGCCCCGCCCACCGGCTCCATGGCTGCACCCAACACAGCAATGCATTTTGGCGGCGGCGGCGGTATGGTTATACCGCCAACATCATCAGCTGGCGGTACGGCTGGCAATTATGTGTCCATCGGCATTCTGCCCAGCATGTCGCCAGCCCAATTGCCCCCGCTCCTATTGCCCGCTCCGCCACCTGCGACGACGACCTTCAAGACCACGCCTCTGCTGCCCATGCCAACGCTCGAGGACATTGAGGTGGCCAATCAGGCGGGCGGCCAAGGCGGTCAGGTTAGTTATTGTTTTAAAATTTATCTGTTAAAAAACTTAATTTAAAAAAGTTTTATTTACGTTTTTTTAACGTTTTTTTTTATAGGTGGTCGTGTCCTTGGCCCAAACTTCGATGGCGCCGCCGGGTATATTGAAATATCCGACGGCGGGGTATGTAAGCGAGTTGATGGCACCGCCGCCGACCAACCTGCCGCTACCCATGTCGCTACCCCACCCCCCGCCGCCGCTGACCTCGATTGCCAGCAGTACAGCCGGCAGCAACAACAGCAACATCAGCAGCACCAACAACAGCAATTGCGGTACGCTGAAAAGTAATGCAAAATTGTTGCCGCTTCAATTGATGGCCACGCCCCCGAGTCGCAAAGAACCACTGACGCCGGCCCATCCGCAGGCGGCATCGATACAAGCCCAGGCACAGGTGCAACATCAGCTGCAGCAGCAACACCAACAGCAGCAGCAACACCAACAGCAGCAACACCAACAACAGCAGCAACAACGACGCAAGCGACAGGGATGGTGTTCTTGCTTTGGTTCTGGAGGAGGCGGCGGTGGGTCAATAGGGAGCGGTGGTGGTGGTGTTGGCGTAGGAGATACCGGAAAGACACCACCCGGATACGGAAGTAAGGACAAAAAGAAGAATCGCAAGGCCACCACGCAGACGGTGTGGTCCGCCCTGCTCACCAACCTGGGCATCTGCATGCTGCTGCTCGCCTACACGCTGTTGGGTAAGCAAATCCAAATTAAGTTAGCCTAATTAATTCAATAAATTAACGAACGAACGAACGAACGAATTTAACTCAAATAGTTGCCTCTGAGGAGAATTTAATTTGATTTATATTTTCATTTTCAATTTGACATTGAAAGTTGGCTCACACCTTATAAAAACTGAAGAGACGCTCGCAAAAAGTCTGTTTTGATAGAAGATTTTTGTATATAACTTATTTAAACAGGGAAATTACTTAGATAAAGTGATTAAATTGGCTTTATGATATTGATTTGAAAGTAAACTACCTTGATATGTAGAGAAATTTAACTTTTTAAACGAGGCAATCGACAGAAATCGAGGGAGTAAACCGATATCTTCTCTTAAAGACATCTAAACTTTAGTTCTTAGTATCAATATGGCTATAATTTAGTGGCAATAAATGTCGGAGCCTTTGGCTAAATAGCCAAATTGACGGCACTGTGCGTGACAGGCACTCACATATCATTTGTATCTTTCTGGCTGCCTGTTGTTGCCATTTCATTGTTGCGGCCGCCCTAATTAACGCGGCATCTTCTTTCGGCCACGCGTTCATCTCATTTGCACTTTTTGCGGCGCGTGTGTCATATACAGATACATATACAGATACAGATACATCAACAGCTACATCTATAGATACAGATACAGATACAGATGGGTTTACACTAGTGGATAGCGTTACTGTTACCGGGAACAAGGACGATACAAGGATGCTTAATGTATCTTGTCACAGAGTTCGACGTTTAAATTAACCAACAACAGGAACTGGGTGGAACACCGCCAAAGCCGCCGCACGACAACGTGATAAATTTAATTAATCATTCGCCACCATCATCATACCATCTTTCCCCACCACCCTTCCTCTTCACCAGCCCCTTCTCAATGCCAAAAACAAACGTCAAAATGGCGGCCGCAGAGCTAAAACTTATGTTTTACCCACAGTGAAGGGAATGCGTGTATTTCCGGTACAGTAATCACTAGAATATTTTAGCTTTGTGAACAAAACTTGGCTTAATCATAACTAAATGAGCTGCAGAGTTAATTATTCTTCCATGAAACTTCACAGAAATATTTAAATACATTTTGCAACTATTAAAGTTTTTATATCTTTTTAAAAAGTTCTTAAAATCTTTGGCAGTTCTATTAATTTTCAAAGTAAAATCATTTAATTAGATTAAATATTCATTAGAATTAGTTTTCAATATATTAAGTTCATTTATTTATTATTAATTTTATTAAAACAGAAGAGAAAAAGTATTCCCAAACCAACCACAGTAACAAAACTCAGTTTTAGCGTCGACCGAGATTGGCATACTTTTAGGCGCTGTCATGTTTATGAGCGAGTATTAGGAAACCAAAAGGCGACACTTGACGCGGACTCCGTCACATTCGCCGTAAACGGAAATCCGTCTCCTGTCTCCCGTTCCCATCTACATCTTCTTCTTCTTTATCTCTCATTCTCTGCCTCTTTCATCTGAATCTCTCTGGCCCTTTTCTCCAATTCTCTGACGGTGACGGCTGCTTTGACAAGCACTGGTAAGAGAGACACAACGGCAACATGAAAACAGAAACAGCAAAAGCAACAGCAACAGAGGCAACAACATCACAACAGCGACAAAATGGTAAAAACACAACATACACACATATGTGTGTCTGTGTTTGGGTGTGTGCCTGTGAAAATACTTTAAACAAATCGAAAAATTCGCACTTGTGTGTGTATGTGTGTGTGTGTGTGTGTGTGCGACATCTGGGCGAAAAAGTTGTCCCTTGTTAGGAGGAAATCATCAAAATGACACAAACAATTATTTAACTTTCGCTAGGCCGTGCGTGAGGCCGGTGACGTCACACGACACACACATACACACACACACACACACACACTCATACATGACAGATGAATTTTGTCGTTTTTCCACAACCCATTTACATGCTACAACGGAAGTTACAAGATGGACAAATAGGTCTATTTAAATTTAAGGCCCCCTCAGTGGGTAGTTCACTGAATAAATTTTGCAGCTTGTAGAGTTGCAAGCCGAACTTGTGGCTTTTTTTTTAGTGAATGACACATTTTTTAGCTACTGAGTTGACTAAACCCCCCTTGTTACCCCTTTTTAAAAATGCTAATGTACGTTTATCCCGATTTTCTCCCAACTCGGTAGTATTTTTCTCATAACTAAGCCAATGGTAACCCGAATCTGGAATGGAATACCTCGTTGGATTCGTTTTATAAATTTCGAATAGAACTGCATTCACAGCTTAAATTGTTAATTTTTATCAATTTTTCTCAAAAAACACGATGTTACCCCTTAACCGTAATGCGAAATTTGGTTTCTTCTTATTTGGCATCCAAATAGCCAGTAAATCTTTTCTAACTCATCCAATAATATTCCAAATTTGAAATGTTATACCTCGATGAACTCGTAATTAAAATTCTAGTCGGACTGCATTCACACTTTAAAATGTAAAATGTATGCCATTCTTCGAAAAAAATCATGATGGTATCCCATATCAAAGATGCGAATTTTGGTTTCTCCAAGCTCGACAGTACTTTGCTCATAACTTGGCCAATCATGGTCCAAATATGGAATGTAATACCTCGTAGGGCTCGTAATTTGATTGTTATGATTCCCAATTGGTTTGCATTAAAATCTGGGTAACTTCATTTTTGGGCCATTTTTGAAAATTTTGATGATGGTACCCCTTATCAAAAATGCGAAATTTGGGTCAAAATTGACTTTCCAAAATCGAAAAACCAATGATAGGGGTGGTTAGTGTTGGTCGTTAGCAGCACGAAACAGTCGTTCTTTTGGCTGTGGGTCTTGTTTTGGCCGAGCTAGAGCTGAAAAACCGCAACAAATATTGCATTTTCATTTTTTAGTCATGAAATCAGCACTCCCAGCAAAAGAGCAGTACACCACTGTAAAAAGTGGGTATAGGGGCTTAAAGTGTTGGTTGTTAGCTGCATAAAACAGTCATTGTTTTAGCTGTGCGTCTTTTCTGAGCAAAGTTAGAGCTAAGAAACTGCAAGGAGGCCGGGCTATCCGCTGCTAAAAGGCGTATACTTGATTTTGGGCACAAAAATTTCAGTTTTTTAGCCATAGCACAGCCAAAAATGGTCCAAATGGTGTATGTAATACCTCGTAGGGCTCGTAACTTGATTACCATGATTCCCAATTGATTTGCATTCAAATCTGGGAAACTTCATTTTTGGCCCATTTTTGAAAATTTTGATGATGGTACCCCTTATCAAAAATGCGAAATTTCGACCAAAATTGATTTTTCCAAAATCGAAAATCGAGTGATAGGGGTAGTTAGTGTTGGTCGTTAGCAGCACAAAACAGTTGTTTTTTTCGCTCTGCGGCTTGTTTTGACCGAGCTAGAGCTTAAATACCGAAAATACTATTGCGAATTTCTGACAGAAATAGGTATTTCGATTTTTTAGCCATTAAATCAGAGCTCGCACCGAAAAACCAGAACAATAATGATTAAATCAAGTATAGGGGACTTAAGTTTCGGTAGTTAGCTGCACAAAACAATCATTGTTTTAGCTGTGCGGCTTGATTTGACAAAGTTAGAGCTAAGAAAGGGCAACAAAGCCGAGCTCTCTCCTGTCAACCGACGTATACGTGATTTTGGACGCAAAAAAATCAGTTTTTTGGCCATAGCACAGCCAAAAATGGTCCAAATACAGAATGTAATACCTCGTAGGGCTCCTAACTTGATTGCCATCATTCCCAATTGGTTTGCATTCAAATCTGGTAAACTTCATTTTTGGCCCATTTTTGAAAATTTTGATGATGGTACCCCTTATCAAAAATACGAAAATAAGCCAAAAAATGATTTTCCCAAAATCACCCAAGCAGTGATATGGTTGGAAAGGTGTGATCATTAGCTGTTTAAAACAGTTAGTAATTTTGCTGTTGGTCAATTTTTAGTCAAGTTATGAGAGAAAACATAGGGAAAATATCGCATATTTGGCTAAAATCCTGATCTCAATTTTTAGCCACAAGATAAACAGTAGTTTGTTTACAACATTAGAAACAATGGCTCAAATATAGAATGTCATACATCAATGAGCTCGTAATTAAATTTTCATTTCCATTCACACCTAAAAAGATGGTGATAAAAAATCTCAGTTCTTGGTCATCATTTTCAAAAACTGTTTAACTTATAGTTACGGACAGAAAAGTTAAATGATGCCATAAAAAACCAGAGAGAACTAGAACAAAACTGCTTTGACAAATATATAATTACCGATACATTTGCCACTCAATAAATCGGATGTCAGGAAAAAGGAAATATAAAAACCATTTGACAGACCTTCAGCTTTCTGTACGGCCCATCATCTTGTCATTCCTTTCCCCGTATCCGATCCGATTTTCCACCATCCATCGTGTATTATTTTTAACTTTGACATGTGTTGGCTTTTGGCGAGGACATCAACTCATCATCATCCACATACATTCAACATCATTCTCAGCCAGAGAGGGACTATGAAGGAAAAAAAAAAATATATATATAAATGGAAACTTTGTCGAAGGCAGGCGAAAAACTTTTCAAAAACTTGACAAAATGTGTCACATGTGAGCGTGAGTATTAGTTGGCGAGCATTAACATTAAATGAGTGACAGGAATCAACACGGATGGCCCCAAAAGACCAAGGGCTGTGGGATTATATCGATTTGGGGAAGGAAACTGAGGCTGAGGGATGTCCTTTTTATTAGTGGAACATAAAAATCTGGGCAGCAGGAGGAGGAGGACTGAATTCTACTAAAATACATTTTGGAGATACACTATGCTTAAAGATTAAACATACCGTAAACCAGATTGCTTAAGTATCAAAATAACAAGCAGTTAGATTAAGTAAAGTTGCTTTATTGATTAAACGTTCCTGTTACTTTCAGAGCATTTTCCATTTTAAAATCCCTTCCCCATAATTTAGTCAGAACATGCCACAGAATCCTAGCCTTCAACAAGATACTTGAAACAGGAAGCCCTTAAGCTGGCTCAGACCGATTGCAACACCTTCAAGATGCTTTATGACCCGAGACCTATCTCCTTTCTACCTGCATCCCTTTTGCCATATAGAAAACAAATGAGTTACCGTAGAGTTCATATTTTCCTGGAGATTTGAGATGCAGAGGCATAGATACTTTGCCGCACAATGTGCACAGAAAGAAATCATGAAGTTCTGTGATGATGTTTTACGTTTAAATATTATTTGTTTTTAATTAGTTTATCATTTTAAGAAAATATTTTCATATGCAATCTGCATCTTTCTTCTGAAATCACTTGTAAAGTTGTCGGAAACTATCCAAGAATATATTTTCCATCGACAAGACCATTTCTCTCTGTGTTCCCTTTCTAATGTTTGGCTTTTGTTCGCCATCCCGTTGCAGGCTCCTTCATCTTTCTGACCATCGAGAACGAGGACTCGGCTTTGCTGCATCAGCAGCACACTTTGGCCAGCACCAAGCGCAATATGGCTGGCTTGGGGATCGGAGTTGGTGCGGGCATTGGAAACAGTATCTATCAACAGCAGCAGCACCAGCAAAGGACATCCCAACAGCAGCAGCAGCAACAACATCAGGCGGTACAGGGACGTCACGCGGACAATGACACGGTGGCCGCGGCAGCAGCCGCTGTTGCCGCCCAGGGAATGTTGGCCGGAAATGCCGGCGGCCTCAATCCATTTGGGCCCGCATCTAGTGGCGATTTTGTTTACGGTATGGACGATACGGCCGATTTGGAAGCGGCCGGAATGCCCCAGTTTGCCCTGTCGCCGGACACCTACGATGTACGGCAGCGGACCATTGAGAATATCTGGGACATAACCGTCTCGCTGAATATTCTCTATAAGGAGAACTGGACAAAGTGAGCATATTAAATGTTTATGTAACCTTAATCTTTGTAATTTAATTTGTAAATTAAATTCAGTAAACTTTCAATTTCAAAGAAGGTTTTTTATAATTTTTAATTTATATTTAAAAAAAACTTAAACTTAAATCATTCTACTATTTAGTCATCTTTTAGCTTACAAACAATCACTTCATTTCAATTTCCATAAGTTGTTTATCTTTTTTTCGTATACTTGATATTGGTAAACGGTGCGTATACTTGATTTTCATATTGATTAACCAACGTGTGACTCATGTGTGTCTGCTCACTCCCTTCTTCACTTACAGATTAGCCGCACTTGAAATAGCCAAGTTTCAAGACCAATTAATCAAGAGACTGAACGAGGATGTTATGCTGCAATTATCGCACGACGATGTGGCCAACGCTCCCTCCTCCTCCCTCCTCCCTCCTCCTCCTCCTCCTCCTCCTCATCCGCCTCATCGTCATCATCGGGCGCCTCTGGTATTCCGGGGAGCAACAATCCGGCCACGGAAGCTGTGCTCCTTCACACACACTATCACCATCATCGTGCCGGAGGCGTTGGAGGCGTGGCTGTGGGAGGAGGACCGCCGCATGAGTGGAATTTTGCCAAAGCGTTTTTGTATTCGCTGACCGTTTTGACCACAATTGGTAAGTGCCAGTGGCCTTCTGCCTTAACGGGCAGACAGGGCGACACAAAAAAAAAGTGTAGGGAGGATAGATGGGGAGAGGGGGGGGAGGTTAGAGGTTTGAGTTACACCAAGTTCCCAAAAGGGAGATAGAAACAATGGCTCCCCATTCTACTCATTTTTCCACACGCTGGCTGTGGGCCATAAATTTGATGTTCCAGCAACGGAAATTTGTTTTACTTCAATGGCGAGTGCGCTCTTGTTTGCAGGATACCAAAGGCAATAGCGGCTGAAAAGGGGCTAGACAGTACACACAGAGAGAAAATATGCAATATTTATGTAGCAAACTTTTCAATATTTCTATAGTTCTAAGCTAATGGCTGATAACTTCTAATTCCATTTCGAAGAAGGTAAAAAATTCTTAGAATTTCCAAAAGGACATTATTTTCGTGTATAAAAAAAGCTAAGAGAGGTTTGAGGCAATGTGTAGGCCATGGGCATGACCCGTACACCTTTTGACACCATCGCATGAGTGCATTTGGGGCCGAACCCAACTGCTGTTGTTGATGGCAACTAAAGAGAATAGCGGAGTGGTCAAAAAAAGGGTGGGGGAAGGGGGCTGACAAAGGGGGTATAAAAGCGGGTGAAAACGGTATGCAAGTGGTGGCTAAAAGTGGGTGAATTTCAGTAGTAAATAGGTTGGAGGATGGAGTCATGATGATGATGATGATGATGATGCGATCCCATGGTCACATCCATGATGCAGGTTGCACAACGAAGCCAGAGTAATTCGTGCCATAAGAACTGCAGTGGTAATTGATTGATGTGCATACTGGAAGCTGGGCTTAAAGTGTTATCGTTTCCAGACACCGATTATTTATCGAAAGGGATTACAGGTGTCTACCGGGGCAAAAAAAAACAAAAAGATAGCGATATTAATGGATGGCAGATTTTTAAAGGTGAATTATTGACATCTTTAAGTTCAGTGACATTAATAAAGATATTGTTAAGAATATTTAAAACAATTTCAATTGAAAATTGTAAATAACTTCACACATTTCCATAGCCATCTCTTAAGCATGCAACATTTCAATCGTTCTCTTCTTGCAATATCGTCTGTGATATAGATTTCCATCTCAGTCCTTTCAATTACCGAAACTAATTCGATAAGACTTCGATTGCTGACTCTGTTGAGGATTTCTCAATTGGCATTTGTCAGCAGCCAGGACCCTCCCCCCTGGAGAACTCTCTTGGTCCTTGTCCTGGTCCTGGTCCTTGGCCAATTTTAAATATTGGTTTGTGGAGGGCCAAAACTTTTAAGCCCCTAACATCCATCTTCTATCTGCAGGGGATGCTCTCTGCCTGGGCCCCATTCTGTGTGTAGCCAGTTGTCGGATTTCCCAGGGAAAATGCCGTGTGCGTTTTTCTCTCTCACTTGGACGGTAATTTTGTAGGCCCAAAAAGAAAAAAAAAACAAAAAATTAGAAAAAAAAAAGAGGAGGAGACAAAAAACCATGCCGAAAGTCAAATATTGATAGAGCAAAACAACAAACGAAGCTATTTGCTTAGCCCGGATGGCCGAGACACACACACACACACTCGTACATTCTAGGGTTTTATAGGAGGATATATACGTATGTATATATATACATATATATGCAAGGATACATCGACACGACTTTCCACTTGTGAAAATGCTATAAAATAAAATTTGCAAAAATTTTCTGCTGATCTTGGCAGTTCATGCCAATGCCAAAAGGCCAGAAAGCAAATATAGGACCAGGAAAAACGGCACCCCCCCCCCCACCCATCATTACTCCTTGTCCTTGCAAATGTGCATAAAAATGGGTGTGTGTGTGTGTGGGTGGCTTTGTGGTATAGGGCGGGGCAGTTTGCAATTGCGTTAGTCAGCAGACTGCCGGGACATTTGTATTAACATGACATCCTGCCAACACCCAAAAAATAAAACCAACCACCCACTCCTTGTCCTTGTCCTTGCTTATTATTATTATTATTATTGTTTTTGTGGGTTGTTTTTCTTGTTTTTTTTTTGGGGCAGGCAGCAGGTCTTCATTGTTCTTGGTCCGGGCAGCCCGAACAATATGATTATGATTATTGGCCCGTGCTTCTGGACCAAAGGACTAAGCCACTCGAGTACTTGAATGCAGCACCATGTTCCATGCTCTGTTACTCTATAATGTACTTGGCTTTAAAGTTAGCTTGGCTTTTTGGAGAAACACAAAGAATATTGGTAAAAAAAAAAAGAAGTATCCAAAGGTGAATCAATTTTGATATCACTTTTCGTAACTGGACAAATATTGAGAAAGGCTTTCCCATATTAAAGTTTAAATGCAAACAAAGACTATATGGTTATATTCAAGGGTATCTGTTAGTTGAGCTCTTTCCAATCAGCTACATCCCTTGTTCATGGCGTGAGTTCTATGATTGTCTTGGGCATAAATGCGAATTTATAGGCAGCCTGCTCGTTCCGTTCCTCGAGATTCCTTCTGCTGTCGCTGGCACAATAAATAGGACCCCGGATCGGGATCGGCCAATCCCCTGGACAGCAATAAGACAAGTAATTTAGTTGCAAAATAATTTTAAATTTCATTTTCCATTTTCCACAAACACACACATACACACACAGGCAGGAGGCATATAGAGAGAGGGAAACTGAAACTGAAATTGAGACCGAGACCGAGACCGAGTCCGAGTCCGAGTCCGAGGAAACTGAGGCTCCATTTCCACATTCACTATCATCAATTGCGCATCTTTGGGGCCCTGCGATTCCGTTTTATGCTCCGCCATTTTGTGTTATGTGTGGGCATAACCGAAGGACCATCGATATATAAATGGGCCTCAATGAGCATAGTGGTTGGGTAGGGAAGTTACTTTGGATAAACCGAAGTCGAAGGAAGATTAGGTCTAGTTGTTTATGGCTAGAGTGTGTGTTTAAGCAGCGACCGGGTAATTGTATTTACTTGCCCACACACACACACACACACGCATATTTGATAAATAATTCACTCGCCTATCGGCTTAGTCCCCGAACCCCCCTTCCCCATCCCTAATCACCAGCCATAAACGCTTAGAGCGATTTATTTGCATAATCGATAAATACCTATCGGTAAGGAATTGAATGGCGAACATTGTCGGCAAATTGAACTTTGTAAGTGAAGTTGTAATGGAAACAAAATCAACTTTTGTGACCGGCATTGTAATAGGTAAAAATGTTGCTGCTTTTGCCTTAAGTATAATTTTAATATCTTTATTGATATCAACTTCTATAGCTTTTAAATACCCAAAATATCTGTATGAAATTTCGATTTAATAGATTTCATGTTCATGTGCCAAGCATTCTGAACACTAATGTTCGAGTCACTCACTTTGCCTTTTCAATATCGAAATCTTTCAATATCTTTCAATAAAATATGTAGATGCCCTCAATCCGACCCCCCTCCCCGCGTCGTTATCCTTGAGTTGCCTTGATATCCTCCCAGCAAATTGACAGCGCGGCAGCTGAGTTTTACAGCCCCCTCGAGTCGGGTCAATGGCAATATTATTAGCCATGGCTAGGGATGCAGCGCGGGAGGGGGGTTGGTGATTTGTTCTTCTTACCCCGCACAGTGGTGCAAATAAATCAACAAAATGTTACCGAAAATCTTGCCCTAGATTGATTTATGCCCATTTCCTCACACACACAATGGCCCACTGTGGGAGGATGGATGGGTGGAAGGGGAAAAAGGATATGAGGGGGAGGAGTGTATGTTCTGAGGATGCTGAGCTGTCGTCTGCTTTGTGACACATTGACATTTTGGCCATGTGAAGTAAGGGCGTGGGGGGTATTTCATTTAAATTTGCTGTCAACGCAATTACATGGTTACCAAGGTCTTCGAAATCCGCTTCCTGTTTCAGTCACTGTTGCTGATTTTAACGTGAACAACGCCTTCTTACACAGTGGAAAAATAATGACTTCTAACGTTTTTGTCTTTTGAAAATTATCTATATTAAAATTTATGGTTTAGAAAAGTTTAAAAGATGAATGGCCTTATCTTTCGACAATCTCTTAGATATACATAAATGAAATCCTAAACAATCTTTGATTCAAAGTACCGAACATATTTTTGTATTATTTTTTCCGGTTCATCTCAACCCACCCCCAAAACATGTCTACTTTTCAGGAAGACAGCATAGGCCGGAGGCACTTGAGCCCTGCCACATGTGATATCTCCCCATTGATTCGATTCATTTGCTGCCACAGCTTCCTTCCAATATCAAATGACTTACTTCCCGCTAAGGCAACATTTGTTCAATAAAAAAAAAATAAGAAATAGAAGACCCGACCAATAAACCACGCCAACATATATCGCAAAACCGCCAACAGAAAAATGCGAGAAAAGCAAAAAAGCAAAAAAAAAAAAAACAATAAAATTAAGAAATTTTCAAATTTATGCATGACACACCTGACGACGATTGCGTGTGTGTGTGTGTGCCACGCCCACCAGCTCAATTGTATCTCCGCCCCCTGTGATTTTTTTTTTTATATATTTTGTTGCTACCTTCCTTAGGGAATTTCCGGCCTTAAGCTTGTTAAGCATTTTTATTGCCTCTGCCAAGCTTAATTATTTTCGATGCCCTTTACAGCATGGGGGAAAATGGGGAAAAACAAGTAAAAGAGTATGGGAAATGCAGAGAGCGGGGGACTTACCCGGCTTATATGTGAAGTTACGGCTCATTTGGGTAATGTCAATAAGTCGGATCTCTCGGGGGAGTAGCACAAATTGACTTCTGGCAAATTAATGTGGGAAAATCCAAAAAAAAGAAAAAAGGAAATTGTTAATGGACATTTTTGCGCCGGAGGAAAATCTTTTAATATCCATGTAATAAGCAGGAACTTACATAAGTGCGTATACCAAATGTCAGTAATTAAACATTTAATTAAAAGATATAAATTAAAAGAGCGTTAATTTTAAAGTATTTTAGAAGCTACAGGTCAAAATGTCAGAATAACCTTTGAACTTTGAACTGGATTTTGTATTTACAAAGATTTTAGGGCTAAGAAAATAAGACAAAACTAAGGAATATATCAATAATGTATTAATACGAATGTATTTTCTAACCACAGGCTATGGAAACATTGCACCGCGTACGACTCTCGGAAGGATCGTGACTCTGGCGTACGCCTTCTTTGGCATCCCCTTGACTTTAGTCTACCTGAGCAGTACGGGCAGCATTTTGGCCCGAGTAGCTCGGGAAGTCTTCTCGAAGGCCCTGTGCTGCTGTCTTTGTTCCAATTGCGGGTATTGTTGTTACGATGAGAAAAGGATGGCAGAAAAAGAGCGTCGGATGCGACGGAAGAGGCAACAGGAGGAGTTACGTAAGCAACAGGCAGTAATGCAGGAACCATATTACGTAAGGGACGTTTTTCATGCCACGCCCGAAAAAGAAGCAGTTGCCGGAGCACAGCCACCGAATGTCGTGGGTCCTGGAGGATCCGTTGGTGGTTTGGGGGATATAGATTCTCTCAGTGCCAGCGAATCGAGGGGTTCCATGCATGGCCTCAGTATATTAGCCCCCATACTCCTTTGCTTCTCCATGATGATCATTTATATTGTTTTCGGAGCCGCCGTCTTATATCGCCTGGAAAATTGGCCCATCCTGGATGGCATCTATTTTTGTTTCATGAGCCTGTCCACCATTGGTTTTGGCGATATGTTACCGGGCTTACGCAGAGAATCGAATGCCACCACTTGGTTTTGTTCGGTTTACATAATGTCGGGCATGACCCTAACGGCCATGTGTTTCAATGTCATCCACGAGGAGATTGTCCATCGGATTCGCATTGTGGTGGAGTTCAAGAAGACGAGTGCTGCGAATTCTAGCGGTGGTTTGATTGGTGGCGGTAGTGTTTCCAGTGGCCCAGGCGGTGCTGGTGGTCCCGGTGGATCAATGATGGATGTGGCGCACGAGGATGGCGGTCAATACTATGTCCCGGCATCTTGACACTATGAAAAGCGAGGGCATCTCTACCAGCGTAACCCCACCGAAGAGACCCTGGTGACAGGTGAGAATAAATATTCCAAAGATTTCAAATAAACCATCTTAGATGGTCCTTTAAACTGGATTTTTCTATAATGTCCGATTGGAAGGATCAATTTTATAGTTTTTTTTAGATATTAATAGATATTTAAACTCTTACAGACACACCCACATCGCTGGTGCTGAAGGACTATGTAAACCACGAGCTGGTGCCCATCCTGACAATGGATCCGAACGGCGCCCGGTTGGCCCCCGCCCCTGCTCCCGCCTATACACCAGCCTCCTCATCGGCGGTCATATCCGGATCGATAATTCCCGGATCGGGTGAGGTGACCACTCCCGGAAATAGCTGCATTGCCCATGGCAGCGATCCGGGATTAGGTTACTCATCGCTAAGCAGTCCACTCCTCGATGTCCTAACTACGCCGACCGGGGCCAACGCCTCCGGAGTCTATACACTTGCCGAGGAAACGGAACTCGAACTCCAGGAGACGCAAGTGGACAGGGAGCGGATCTAAAAACGCCAACGACGACGAAGTATTTACTCGACGGATCAGTATTAGTTAGCGATTAGCCTTAGACATAGTCCTAAAAAAAAAACAAAACAAAACAAAACCCTAGATCGAATCGGTATAGTGTGTAAAATGTAATAACTATCTTTTTTTTTGTTTTTTTTCCCTGCCACCACAAGAATTGTGCGGGTGCATAGAGTGTAAGAAATAAATGTGTGTATGTGTGTGTGTGTACGGGGGACTTTCCCCCCGAAAAACAAAACAAAAAACAAAAATATACCGCGTCCCGTTGGACCAGTAAAAGAATCGTAGAATTAAGTCAATCTATCACTGTACATACTATATATTGGTAGACGAAGGGAAGATACATTTCCATAGCTCCTAAGCAGATCAACCGAATGTAAACAGAGATCCCTGAGAAAAGAGAATAACTAGTCAATGTAGTTGAAGATACAAACCCGTAATAAACCCAAACTATCCATATAGCTGTCATACTCCAAGTAAACTTAACAGCAGAAAGGAAAAATATCAACCCATTGGGAGAGGTGAGGAGATCAGTATAAAGAATTTAAGCCTAGTGACTTTGAAATCATTTCATTAATGGGCTAGAAAGTCTTATTTATTATTTGAAAATTTATTATTTTATAGTTTTCAATGGATTTTAAAACCCTAGAGATATTTTCACAGAAATTTCCAAATTAATATTACTATTAATATTTTTTGTAAATTTTGTATTTTGATCGCTCCATCTCCCCCTTTTCTACACTTTTCGATACATTCGAAACGACACTTTCTTAATGTACGAATAAATAGAGAAATTCCCCGTTTTTATGTGTGTAAGCAGGGAGCCTGAGAACGCAACTACATAATCCGCAATACGCATACCTAATCAAGACACATTTTATACGTAAATCAAGCTTAGAAAAATTACAAAATATGTACTTAATACGACATTAATATGCTACACATAAATATATATAATAATATATATATATATATATATATATAAAACTACATCTAGGTAACTGTTTTTTTTTTTGTAATTGTAATAAGCATAAAATGGAGAAGAAGGAAAATTAAACTATGCATACATATTATCAATGAATTCGAATTCATAAATTTAAATAAATGTTTGAAACTACATGAGAAAACTACAAAACAAAATAAGAACAAACGAAACTTGCGTAACTTTGTAAATGTTGAAATATACCCGATTGTATATTTATGACAAGTGCAGCAGTGAAATAAAATCAATAAAAACTTAAATAAGTAAAAACTTTTGTTTGCTTCGGGTACATTTTAAATTTGGCGCTCTGCTTAACATCAAATGTTATACATAACAGAGAGCCCTGTTAAGGGAAATAGCAATTTAACATTGGTTTTAGTGCTGTTAATCCTTACATTGGGCTCTGGTGCGCAAAATGTTAAATATCGATTAATGTTTGTTTTTCGTTTTTCAAACCTTGTTATGGCTGTATTTTTAAAAATATCTGCTTTCATTTAAATATTTATTAATATTAATTATCAATTTTTGTTTAATACTATATTCAAATTACATTAACATAAAATTTTCTCGCTTTTACATCTCTCTGTAAACATTACTACGCCATCTTGAATTAACCGTTGGGATTTTATTGGCGTGGCTTTATTGTTAAGTTTAAATTTGTATTGTATTGTTTATTGTTTAAAATTTACATGATGGACTGGTCGCTGATCATATTGATTATAATCAATTGTCTATACGTATCTGCGCTGGACGAGGATTGTCCCACATTGGCTGATGGGGATAGTTTGTCGCAGACTCAATTGCTTGATCGTTTAACCCATGGCTGCCGATACGATCGTTTGGAGAGACCAATAACCTATTCGGAGACTGGACAACGATTGCCTGTGGACGTCTATATGCGTGCCTATATCTATTTTATGCAAAATCTGGAGGCACACGATCTGCAGTTTAAGATTTATGCTTTGCTCCAAATGCGCTATCTTGATCCACGTCTAAATTTTCGGAACGTTAGTCCCAAGCGAAGGCAACCAATTTTGGGGGAACAGCAGCTAAGGGACTCTCTATGGATGCCACACATATTTCTGGCCAACGAGCGGGATTCCAGTATATTGGGTAAGCACTCGGGAAACAGAATCATAGTGGTTTTATCTAAGATCTAAAATTCCTGGTGATGTATATATTATGCAGGTCTCACGGAGAAGGACATCCTCACATCGATTTCACCTGATGGCACCGTTATTGTCTCGAACCGCATAAAGGCCACACTTTACTGCTGGCTTAACTTGAAGAAATTCCCATTCGACGAACAGCACTGTTCCACAGTTCTGGAGAGCTGGATGTACAATACTTCGGAATTGGTACTCCATTGGGAGCAGAAACGTCCGATAACCTACGATGGAGCCTTGCATCTCACCGAGTTTGTAATACAGCGTTCCTGGTCCAATGAGACGGTGATCAATGCCGATTTGAGTGACCTGCGACATGGAGCTTTTGCTGGGAATTACAGCTCCCTCAGCTTCACCGTTCATCTGACTCGCGTGGTTGGATTTTATTTGATGGACTACTTTTTGCCCTCTATGCTTATTGTGGCCATATCCTGGGTATCCTTTTGGCTACAGGCAGACCAGGCACCACCACGTATTACACTTGGGACTAGCACTCTGTTAACCTTTATCACTTTGGCTTCGGCTCAGGGGAAAACCCTGCCAAAAGTCAGTTATATTAAGGTTTCGGAGGTATGGTTCTTGGGCTGCACTATATTCATTTTCGGCAGTATGGTGGAGTTTGCCTTTGTCAATACGATTTGGCGTCGCAAGAAAAGTGTGCCCGTCAAAAAATTGAATAGTAAACATATCCTAAAGTCCACCCTATCACCGAATCTGCTGAGACGTCGAAGTCACGCCAGATCTAGGTCGTTTTCGGGAACTGCTCTTCAAAAATCTGCGGATACTGGCTCCCTGGGCGGGGCTGCTTTTAATAATTACCTAACCGTCAATCTGCCAATCACTACGATTAAGGAGGGTCAGGTTTTGGACCAGCAGAGGCCGAGAGGCATTCAAAAGATGGATGTAAACTTTGTGGAGAGTGCCTTTGGTTCAATGGGCACAGCTCAATCTTCTGGATGCATCACTGCTGCAAGCAGCACTCACACTTTGACAAACAATAATCGAACCGAAAATGTGGATCACCAGGAAGAGATTGACCTGAGTGGTTGGACAACTTTAACGCCCCAGGAAATCGCCATGTGGATTGATAGTCGGGCTAGATTCGTTTTTCCGCTGGCCTTTCTTGTTTTTAACTTGTTCTTCTGGACGTTTGTCTACTGTATTTAAATTAAATTATATAAAACTGTCATTAGAAACATAAAATGTATAATTATTGGTAATCAATCAATTCAATGTATTTATTGTTTATAGATATGGCTGTATTATGGATAATATATCTAAAACATTTTTTGTTTATGTTTGTAATCTTCTAATTTTATTCCTAATTTTAATATTCTTTGAAATGAAAGTTTATTAGTAATAATGAAAATATTTAATATAAAAATAATGTAAACTTGTATTTTACCAAACCTAAATTGAAATCGTAAATGTTAAGTGTTTGTATCGGTTCTTCATGTAAATTCAAAAATCGCGCCAATTAAAATTAAAAACTACATATTTCATGCAGTAAAAGTGCACTTAAGTTAAGAAGATTACATATTTAACACACAATTGAGGTTAATTTATGTAAATGCATATAGAAATCGAAACAAAAAGCTTTTTTCATTATGGAAACATTTATTAAATCCGATTATTTAAAAATAATTATGTTCCCGCTTCTTATTTAATTCCAACTATCGATAAGAAACATCGATAGGCAATGGAGGAAAACCAGCCATATGCCAACCTGTGCGTTAGAGCAGCAACACTATACCATCGTGCTTCCCCCACACACATACACACGGCACACGCACACAGCGCAACAAAAACATCGGGCCCCAAAAAAAAAAGACGACGGACAGAACTTCGTCGTGAATTGTAAAATACAAAAAAAAACGCATTCGAACGCGCTGTTTTTTTTTTTTTTACGTGTAACTACGCAAAAAAAAAGGGCACAAGGAATTAAGCAGCAAAAAAGAAGAAGAACGGCGCAGCAGCAACAACAACAGCAACGCCGCATATTTGTATGTACGTGCAAGTGCAAGGCAAACATAAACAACGGTGTATGTGTGCGTGTGTGTACAACGAAAATATTGTATAAATCAAATTTATATATCATTTATTTTTTTGTTTTTGCCATCATAGTTTGCCATATTATAGTGATCACTCGAAAGGCAAACACCAAAAAAGTTAGTTTGAAACAAAACCACACACAGTTAACTTCGTGTTCACAAATTTTATAAAAAAAAAAAAATAAGCCAAAAAAAAAAGGATTAAACAAAAAGAAACAAAAAAGAAGGAGCTGAATGCTAACCGGTAAAGATAGCGGTAAACTGCGAGGGAGAAGGACAACGGCAACAACAACAACTAGTGCAGAGGGGCCAAAAAGCAAAAACAGCAAAGTGCATCTTCTCCCTTCTCCTCCACATCTTCCCGATTTACGGTTATAATGGACACCATCTGTAGATTGTGCTTCCAAACGGCAACGGTATGTTAAAAAATATGATATATACACATATGATTTAGGTACATACACATCAATTGTGTATTTTGTTATTCTTATTGATTTTTTTTTTTTTGGGAGTTTAAACAATTGAATTTGCGCTACTGTTATTGTGCGGGAGGATGGTGCAAAGGGGGCGGGGGTTGAAAAGCGCGCGCATTGCCCCCCTTTCCTACACATATACAAATACCAAATACATATAAGCTCTCAAACAATACACACACACATACACATGCGACCCCAAACTATTGCTGAACAATTTTTATTTTTAGCCAACTCAGCCCGAAAAGTTGTTCAAGCCGACAACTTGAAAAAATATTATTTTTACATTTTGCTTACGCTTGCCGCTCGCTTTTCACTTTGACTCCTTTTCAACCTTCCCCTCTCGATCTCCCCTTTTCAGTTCGCCCCTCCCGCCACCCATGAACCTCCACAAAAAGAAATACATAATAAAACAAAATGACAGAAATTGCGCCAAGGCAGCCAAAAGACAGTGACAGCAAAGGGATTTAGTTCTAGGGGGATTTTTATAAAATTATTAGAAATTGGTAGTAAACCCTTTAGTATTGTATTCGATTTATATTTCGTTTTCCCATTTTCAAAGAATCGGTCAGGTACACATATTTTATATATGTATATTATCAAATTACTACATTAGAACCCCTTTTATTGGGGACGCCACTGCCTCGATTGCTGGCAGAGCAGCAGCAAAACAAAACAAAAAGGGAAAGAATAACAAAACGTTGTACCGAAGAAAAAAATAACATGAAATGAAAACAACAACAAGCTGGTGTGCTGTCGTTTTTGTAGTTTCTTTTTCATTCTCCATGTGTGTGTGTGTTTATCTTTTTTGCTGTTATTTCTAGTTAGTGGGAAAGAGAAAGGTAGTAGGAGGGGGGATGAAATGAGGTTGAGTTACCACAATAAATAAAACAGCATTATTGCGTTTTTCTGTATTTTTTTAGTTTCGATTGAAAACTCCAATTGGAAATGCTCTTTAACTCTGATTCCTATTGTCCTGATTTACAGTTATTCCAAGTGCCAGGCTATAGCATACCCACGTGCGTCCGCTGCTCGGAGCAGTTGACAAATAATTCCAACTTCCATCAGTCGGCGGCAGCCGCTGCCGCCGTTGCTGCCTCTGCCTCGGCCGCAGTCGCCGCTTCTGCAGCAGCAGCGGCCACCTCCTCATCGACGGCATCCTCCAGCGACAGCGACGCCATCGCGCAGCAGCATCAGAATCCGCAGCAGCAACAGCAGCAGCAGCATCAGAACTCGCAACAGCAGCAGCAGCAACAGCAAATGCAATCATCCAGTTCTTCCGAGAACCTTCAGTCGCAGGACGACTCCGAAGACGTAAGTCCTTTTAGCAATACGAAGATGCTGTATAAATACAGTGCTCAAAAGCTCATAATATGAAAGATGTACTGTCGTTAGAAACAATAGTACTATGTAGTTAGGAAAAAATCTTCAAAAATGCATAGTAAGAAAGGTGAAATAATCATAATTGAAAGAATCAAACACCATATCAATATGACAATCAATTCTTTGAGAACCTTCACTTTCTGATTTTGATTTTCTAATTGCCACCTAGATTTGATTTGATCACGTTGCCCACATTTTTGTTTATAATTTGAAACATGAACTCATAACAGAAACTATGTATGTACATATCATTTTTTAAATAGCCAATTAATGAAATTGCACTTTAAAATATGAATGATGAAAAACAAATAACCAATTTAAAACTAATTACTAAGACCATTGTAAGACCCTTCCGATTTATTCCAATTGGATTTGTAGAGGGGTTTAAGCTCCTACCCTCATTCACCTGTTTTTTAGAAGAGAAGGAAAAGTCCTGGGGGATTTCCAGGGCAGTCCTGCTCCTTTTGCTGCACTTGTTTATTATTGTTGTGCTATTTTCTCTTTTTATTTTTTACTACTCTCCCCACTCACAAAAAGAATACATAAATACATATACAAACATACTTACATACATACTGCACATTCATAGCCGCTGCCTTTTCTTCTTCACTTCTTATTTCGCCGTTTCTTTGCATGTTCTTGTTGCCTTTCTTTTTCCATCATGCAACAGAGAACTGCAAAAAAAAAAAGTTTAAATAAAATTAAGAATGGGCCATGTCGTTCTGAACATACTCTTCCTACAAAGTAATAAAAATAAAATGCTCAACTTGATTAAATAAGGATAAGGTGTTATTATAATTAATTATCCTATAATTTTTTGTATCTTATAGATTGTATATTATTAATCCCAGAATGTATAAAAACATTTTGATAAATTTAATTTGTTGTCTTTCTCTTTTAATTTGAAAACTATTTAGTTAGTTGCAATACCTAATAAATATGCTTAATATTTTTAAATATTATTACAAGTTTTTGCAAATAGTTTAGAAACTTTGTAAGTGCAGAGTATTTGCTATTCCATTTGCTACTTTTCTCACTGCTCATTTTCTTGTTTTCCTTTATATTTATATATATGTACATATATATATATACACATATATTTTGTGCTTCTTTTTCCATTAATATCTGCTCTGGCGACGTCGACGTTGACGTTGAAGTCGGCGTAGCTCGGCGTTTTTGTGCGCTGTGTAAAGCGGAAAAAATTCATTTTCAGTTGACGCTTTTGGTGTATGGGTGTGCGTGGCACGCAAAAAACCAAAACCAAAAAACAAAAATTGCACAAAATAATCAAGAAAAGAACAATAAACAAAAATAGTGAAAAAATATTAAGCATAATTTGAGTGATATTCGCAATAAACAAACTGAATTCGCACGGGAATTTGCAATCCGTTCTTTTGGCCGCCAGCTTGTTGAGCGTAAGTGGGAGTGGGAGGAACATAGTTCCAGAGTGTTGTCCATTTAGCTAGTTTATGGTTAGACCTTATTTATATATATATATCTATATAAGATATATATACATATATATTTAAAAGTCTTAATTTTTAGTTTCAGTGAGTAAATTCTTTTAATTGAAATTCCATTACATTAAAAAGTATTGTATTTAATCTTATGAATGAGGAAATATGTTGACATACGTAAAAGGAAATTAAAATTATTTTACCACAACCTACACGGTTTTTTTTTTAGCTTAATAATGTAAGATATCCTATAACTATGCTAACTTTTTTAAATGAAATATATTTTTTCTATTATTTTAGTTTTTAAGAAATAACAGCGCTGTAGGGGATAGTTTAGTTGACCCCATGCAAAAAAAAACTATTTTAAACTGATGCTTCATTAATTTCTTTAAGGTGGATCTAATATTCAACGAGGAGGGCTCCTGCCCGCTATGCAACAAAACTTTCTCGCGCAAATCCTCGCTCATGACGCACATACGGAATCACTCGGCGGAGCGTAAGTTTGTGTGCACCTACTGCCACAAAGGTGGGTAATAAATATATCTATATATATTCCTTTGATAATCTGGGGGGTTTTTTTTTTACTTAATTTGCAGGTTTCACGCAGGCGGCCAACTTGCGGAACCACGAACGCATCCACACGAACGATAGGCCATATCAGTGCGTGGACTGTGGCAAGACATTCACGCAGATCACCAATCTTAACAATCACCGCAGGCTGCACACCGGTGAAAGGCCCTTCGTTTGCAATGAACCGGAGTGCGGTCGCAGTTTCGCCCAGGTTAGCTTCACAGATCCTATTAGTTATGAATTAAGTCTATCCTAGAAGAGGGGTAATGCAAGATTAGAGAACTTAGTTTTTAATGTAATTTTCTTTTAAGGTATATTTTTAAGAATTAAAATTTGAACGACCAATTAAATCATATTTACAATCCTGCATTGTAGGTGACGAACCTAAACAACCACATGAAGTCGCACCACAAGGTACAGCAGTACTGTTGCAATGTGTGCAATAAGAAGTTCACGCAGGTGACCTCGCTGAATCAGCATTTGCAGGCGCACGCCGGGGTCACTGGCTATTACTGTCCCCGTTGTCCGGATAAAAACTTCAAGCTGCAATCGCAGCTGCACACGCACATGAAGACCCACGGACTGGCCTTTCCGTATGAATGCGATAAGTGTGACGAGAAGTTCCTGCAGCAGGCGCACCTCGATCAGCACCTCAAGATGCACGATGAGTTTAAGTTCAAGTGCGATATCTGCCCGAGCAGCTTTAATCAGGAATCGCTGCTAAAGAAGCACGTACAGCGCCATGTTGAGGGGCGCTACCTCTCCTGTCCGGTAGCCAATTGCACCGAGTCATTTGCGGTGCGCCAGCACCTGTCCAAGCACCTGCTCACCAATCATGCCCACCATGAACTGCCGCCACCCAAGCGATCCAAAAAATCACTACAGTCGTCACAACAGCCGCTAGCAATGATCGGTCAGCCATTGTCCCTGCAACACACGACGGGGCAGCGTAAGTTTTAAATTTTTGTTTGGCACAGCTCATTGAAATTTTAATTGATCACTTTTAATATTACTTCTCCAGGTGGACGTCCACCGAAGAACAAGAACAAGGCGGCAGCTCTAGCCGCCACGGCCATCAAGATCGAGATCAACGAACCGCTTCACAGCCAGCATATCAGCAATGTCAGTGGCCTGTCCATTCAGCAGCAGATCAATCAGCACATGCAGCAGCAGGCGGCACAGCAGCAGGCGCAGCAACAGGCGCAACAGCAACAGGCGCAACAGCAGCAGCAACTACTCCACCTGCCGATGGGTCAGGCGGTCAAGGCGCGCTTCATACCCACTAAGTAGGTTAGTTAAGGATGGAAAGGTCTCTCTTAGCTTAAGTCCCGATCGATCAGCTGCTAAATTCCCTGATTAGCATAGCCATAGCCAAAGTAGCATCACACCCAACATACACACACATACATACACTCTTGCGAAATATGATATCTGCGGATGGTTCTGGAATCTCTAGAAGAGATCTCCAAATATTTTTTGCGTTGCTGAAATGATTAACAACATATATTTCGTAAATCCGAGGCTCGGTGGGCCATTAGTGAACAGATTTTTTTTCTAGTACCATTTTAGTAAGCTTATTAGCAAAAACTTAAACGTCGTGCTATTACCTGAAATGTTTGTTTAAATGGTCGTAAATGCTTTCCGATTTCTTGACGACCAAATCGGGAACATTTAGATAGAGAGTCAATGCGAAGATCATATTTTCTAGATTTATTAGTTTGTTCGCAATGTCAAAGTTAACAAAATCTTTTTTTTTCTTTTTTTTTAGTATAACAAAAGTTTTAGATGAATTCGGCATCTTTGTTAGGCAATCGTTGGTAAAAATTTCATTTTTTCAAACATTTCGGATAGTACCATGACAGGAAATACAATATTGCTTCGGGTAGTGTTTAAATTAAATCTTTCTGTTACCATTGGTTTATAGAACAGAATCATTTCGAGAATTCAAAGAAATTATGGAAAGGAGTATCAGATTTTGGCACAAGAAAATAATTTTTAATTCAGCATAGAGATTTTCAGGACATCCCGAATTTAGAGTCGGCGGCAAGCTGCTGGTTCAGTTTGATGTCAGTCTTCTTTTTTTTTTCCTGTTTAAAGATTTTCCAACCAAAGCAATAGCCAAATCAAATGTCCCCTTAAATAAATTTTAAAAATGAAACAGCTATGTATAACATCTATAAAATCGAAGAGCAGCACCAGATTATGACAGACAAAATTCACAACTGATGACTTAAAAAATTATGCACATAAACAACAACCACATCTATATATACATTTATTATATATATATATATATATATATAAACATGAATTCAGGTTGAGAAATCTGTAACTTAAATCGAATTAAAATTTTAATGTAATGCAAAAAAGGCACAGCGAAACGGAAAATAAAATGTTGAAAAATCAGAAATGCAAATACAAATTACCTACAATTAAATATAATATTATGCATAGTGAAAAGCAACAAAAACAAGAAGTAACGAAAAATTCGATTAAATTTGGTATGTATTTATGTTTAAGCATTAGCTTAAGTGTTTTTATTTTTTTTTAATAAACCATTATAAAAAATCAACCTAAGGAAAGGAAACAAAGTTAAGAATATAACGAATGTTGTTTTTCTTTTAAATGGTTTTGTGGTTCATTTAAAACGTTTCTGAATTTTATAAAAAATTATGAAGTTGGTCAGTTATATATATATAATACATATATAATTTATTTGCAAATATATTCCAGATAAAAAAGATAATAATTGTACATTGAGCTCAGGCTAGACGAGCAGAAGCGATGTGGCTAACGAGAAACGATCAGCAAGTCGGGGCTCAATTCGAGATGAGTATATTTGGCTCGATGGAGTGCAGGACGTTGAATCCCTTGTGAAGGATGCAGGTGCGCTGGACGCCGCAGGCCACCAAAAAGTGCGAAAACTATAATATACAGGAAAAGAAGATTACTATGGATCGTAAGGAATTTTCTTATTCTCCATAAAGGCCATCCCACCTCCACAGAATGCTGATGGATGTTGCTCACGCAGACCACGATCCTGCCACGGAGTTGCGCCTCTAATTGTGGGACCTGAAGGGCGTCCAGTCTCTGATCACCCAACTGGACGGTAGCGAATGGAATGTTAATGCTATGCGGCACATGGACACGTCCAAACTCCACCACACTACGCAGATCAACAAGGGCCAGCTCCGACGGCGAGTTGTCCAGCATAAATTGCACATCCTTGGCGCTGATCCGCGGGCATTGCTCCTGCTGCAAGTGCTTTAACTCAACATCCGTCACGCCAATGTCCTGAAATGTGTAGTGTCTTGTAATACAAGTCAGCTTATACTCGTCCTCAAGACTCACCAACGCCTGTTGCGGATGAAGACGCAGCGCGTGCTGGCGATGAGTAATACTCTTCGGAGTGGCCTCGTACATCTTCTGGGACTCCAGTACACAGCCATCCATTACGATATCCGGAAGATCTGAGAAGAGCAGGATGCACTCGTTGAAACCGGAGGTGAGCAGCGTGCTTCTTAGTTGGCGCAAGATAGCAATGCCAATAAACAGCGGATACGAACTGTCGCCCAACATGAGTTTATCCCACAAATGCAGGATCTTGTGCAGCGGGAAAACATCTGCCAGAAGATAACAAACATGAAACCAAGAAACCCAAGAATTTTATATATTGAACTTACGCGAGAACATGGTGAGGAACCAGGGTATCGCAAATAGCTCTGGTATAAAGCTAATGCTGGCCAAATGCTGGGCGAGGAGCGGTTCATGGAAGGCGGTCAACTGGGAGAACTTGCATAGGTACTCCTTGATCACCGCTGAATTATCTTTGAGAAAGAACCACTGCAGATACTTTGGAATGAACTTGAACAGGCTGAGGAAAGCCAGTTCTAAGAAAGAGATGGAAGAATAAAAAATAAGAACTCTAAAAAATATCAAAAGTCACACCTTCATTGTTAAAGTTCAGAAAGAGAAATGGTGCCGTCAACGAGTCCAATCCCTGCCAATAAACATACTGCGGATGGGCGGTGACCCAGGCCTTCAGCAGCCGTCTCAGCTTGCGATGTCCATCCGGCGAGGAGAGCAGCTCATCATATTGATGGCAACGCGGGATGTCAACCTCGATCTGCCGATCCGTACTTGTAGACGTGAACTTGTCAATCTTTGAGTAACTGCCATTGGGTACCACTTCTAAGAGGGCAGCCCAAATTGGACCCCTCAAAAGCGGTGGCACATCCACGGCTGCCTCGCGCTGCAATTGCTCAGCCGTGTGCGGATAGCCCTGCAGAAGACGAGTAAACAATCGCACCCGTTGAAACTGGTACTCAATGTCTTTCTCGCGGATTACCAGGGGCAGTTCCTGCAATTCGCGAGAAAAGTGGGCGGGAAATCGCGGTGAGTGCAGAAGCGGAAAGTAGACTCCTGCTGGCAGGCGACTCAACCGCTGAAGCAGTGCCTTAAGGCGTAGTGGCACCACACGATCGTCCATCAGCTGCGCCTGACTTCGTCCGGGACAAACGCTGGCACCGCTCAAGCGAACGATTTGTGGCAAACCCAAAATAGGCGCCTCACTCCGGATGAGACCCTCCTTTTTGAGCTCTGCTTGGACATCACCGCCGGCCAGTTGCCAAAGGTGATAGATTTGCGACAATGGACATCGCAGAAGTAAGGGTAAATGCTCAATTTCATTCCCTAAGGGCTGAATCTTCTCTTTGTTCAGATCCAAACGAATATTTTCGAAAACTTCATCATTCAAAAGCTCTCCTGGCAGCGGTCTTCTTTTGGGCAGGACACTTAGACAGCTTTCCAGCAGCTGTCGCAGATTTTTGTTCATTTCTATATATCGTTCGTGGCACTGATGCTCACGTGCAATCTTCTCCAGCACTCCACTGCTCCTGCTAAGAGCCAGTATTTTCCTAATCACATTCGAGAGTTTCAGCTTGGGCCACAGTTCGATTTGGAATATCAGCTCTACCATCAGCAGCGCCAGAGACCAAACATCGCTCTTGACATTGCCATTCAGGCCGAGTAAACGTTCCGGTGCCATATACCGGATATTGCCAATTGGAAAGGGTACATAGGCACCGTCCTTGGTCATATGATGCAACCCGTAGTTGAAGAGTTTCACCCGCAGGCTGTCGTTCGAGATGAGAATGTGTTTGGGCTCTAGGTTGTGGGCCACCAGATGGTGTTGACTTAGGACATCAATTCCACATGCTACTTGATAGAAGATTCTTAGGATTTGGGCAATGGCCAGCGGGGGATGACGCTTAGCATAATCCTCCAGCGACAGTCCCAAGTACTCCGAAACCACAATGGTGCGTTCTAAATAGGACAAATTCGGGAATAATTGTAAGGTTTGTTATGAAAACAAGAATGGTAATACCTAAAAAGTAATAGTAGTTATTTGTATTGTCATAACTATTCATAAACAAACCTAACTAGATTAGTGAATGATTATGTGGTTTTAAAACTACCTGTAGACTTTGGTAGCTATTGAACTAGAATAAGTGGGTGTTTAGGGCGGTTTCTGATAGTATTAAGCATGAGTTTTCAAATATAATCAAAAGGTTCAAAAAATATGAACACCTTTTAGGTTTTTAACCACCTCCAAAAAGGAACTCATGACTTTCATAAGATTTGTGGGTGGTTTTGGATGCTGTATTCATTAAGGGCTGATTTGAACTGGAAATCCAGCTTCCTTAAACCACGTAACGTACCGTGCTTGCCGCGGATTACATCCAGGTACTGGCACAGGTGCTCATCCTGCAGTTCCTTGAGTTTCTGCGCTCTCCCCAGGATCGCAATCGAATTGGGCGTGAGGGGCAGTCCGTTGCTGCCGCAAACGTCGCCAGGATGCAACTTGGCGAAAAAGGTGATGGCGCACAGGCGACTCTCCCTTTCCCGCTCCCGCGTGCTCCCCATAGTCCCCGATTTGCTATCAATGCAAATCAGCGCAATATTCAAAAATCCACGACGACATCAGCAACAATTTTAATTTTTGTGGCAGCGAAATGCAAAAACAGCTGATGGCGTTGCCAGACTTACCAGTCGGAGTGCAACGCCCCCAAATTTTTGGCTGATACTAAGGAGATGCAAAAAGTAAGCATTTAAATTAATTATACTGAGGTTAAAAAAAATGTTAAATTTACAATAAACCTATGCCCAAAGATATTGTAGTTCTGTTGGATTTACCAAGCAACCGTCCAAAGAGAATGTAAAACATCTGTCACGTTTATGCGCAATTCTTATTGGGAATATGTTTGAATTATGACTTTGCATTTTAAAGGCTATAAATTGCATAAAACCATCTTAATAACATTTATTAGTAGTATATTATTTTGATTGAGTCAACATAAATTATTATATCATTGAATTAGAAGAAATTATTGAAATATATATGCATAAAGTCTTTCAAAACTATTGCATTTATACGTAGAGTGGAACTGTTGAAAAAGTTTTAAAAGTACAAGATACCTAATACAAATGTAGTCTTTTATAAAAAGATATCGTATTTAAAGGAAAAAACAATGCATATTTTCCTATTATTGATTCCCAATAAATATATATGTACATATGTATGTACATAAATTATCCCAGCGTCGAATTAAAACAAATACTTTGAATTTATTGAATGGCTATTCGTAAGTAATTTTCATGTCAATTACTTAGTAGTTTATTAAAACTACTTAAATAAATCACACTTAGTCTGTTTTAATAACTAAATATTTGTAATTTCATAATACAAAATTTCGTGCCCATTATTAAAAGCATAATTTCAAAGAATTTATGTATTTAATTATTAATAAAAATGTAAACCCAGAGCTAAGGCTCCAAGTCGGCAAAGTAGAAGATTTTTGATATTTCATAATTTTATTTAATTTTTGAATCTTTTTAATAAAAACAAAAATAACTTATATAAAAACGACATCTGGCAGCTCTGGCGCCATTGAAATGGAAAGCTATAACATGATGATATCGATAACTTGGTCTATCGTTTGTTTTGTTGTCGCATCGTTGTTGTTGCTGCTGCTGTTGTTGCTCCCACTTGCGCTTGTTGTTATTGTTATTGCCACTTGCGATTTTGTTTTTATTGCGCACTCGAAATTGTTTTGTTATTTAGTAGCGATACAAAAAACGCTTGAGATGGTGGAAAATTCGGCGCATTTAAGTTTAGTTTAAGTTAGCCGCCCGTCGTGTGCATTTGTGTCTGTGTGTAGTTGTAATTGTTGAATGCAATTTGGCAATTGCAATTGCAGTTTGCAAATGTGAATAAAAGACAGAAAAACTGCATTACTCAAGGAAAAGGATTGAAAAATGTCACTTTTTGTGGAATATACGGAGCCGAAATGGCGGGATTTGGATATGCGCGCCTTGTCCGTCGATCAGTTTTACCTCTACCTGCGATCGCAGTACCCCACAGAGAGTTACCTGTACTCGCTGTCCGACGAATGTTACACGGTAAAATAAATAATCTACTATGTAATAATATCGCGCAATCGGTTTCACTTTCAATTAGCTTATTGATTCGATTTAATTGGCAATTATTATTATGATGATTTTTGTATCTTAATTTGCAGTGCCCGTATACCAAAGTGAAAGCTCTGCCCGCCGTTGACTTCGCTGCCGGCGCCATTGAACCGTTACGTTTGAGTTCGGCATTTGGGCTGAATTTCAAAATATACGAACACGATCAGGGTCACTATGCCTACGACAATGTGTAAGTATCACTGTACAGTAGTCACTCGCTGCTGCTGCAAGATAAAAGTCGTCAAGGTCACAATCACAATTTATTTAAATTGAATTCACTAAAGTTGATAAGATGCAATTCTCTTTTGCCTAAGAAGTTTGGTATATCGAGTTATGACTGTTTTACCTGCGATTTGCGTATGTGTGATTAACTAGTTTAAGCGAAACTGCTTAGCAATGCATGCCAATTGCAATTACACCTGTTATTTTTCAAGTTTAATAATTAAATATTAATCGATTTCCCCCTGCAGCTCGTCGCTCTGTTGGCTCCGTAGGACCAATCTGCAGGAATTTGGCGTCTATAACCTGACCCTCGAAGCGAATGGAACCTGTGCTTTCGAGGTGGACAAGCCGGGCGTACCGATTAATTACGGTAAGTGCTTCAGTAATCTGCATTCCGTAATCCGTAATCCGTAAGTGCCCCATACACTCCATCGTGCCACTTCAGAGATATACATATTACTTATCGGTGGTATTACGATTTCCCGCAGCTTTCCTCGCAGTTTTCGTGCTGGTTGCCGCCCTGCTAATCACTTTGAAACTTGTGAGCTGTGCCTGGCGGTGTTATCGCTATGACGAAGCTACCGCTGCCGCCGACAGCATCGGAGAAGCCGCCACCAAAGCCACACAGAGAAAGCGCCTTCGAAGCCTGGACACCTTTCGCGGGTAACTATAATATCGAAATATTTATTATTATAATTATTAAATATTTATAAACTAATCCGATTTTTCTGCTTCACAGCCTTTCCATTGTTCTGATGATCTTTGTGAACAGTGGCGGCGGCGGTTACACCTGGATCGAGCATGCAGCCTGGAATGGCTTGCATCTGGCTGATGTTGTCTTTCCTTCGTTCCTCTGGATTATGGGCGTGTGCATTCCACTCTCCGTCAAATCGCAACTCTCGCGAGGGAATAGCAAGGCCAGGATATGTCTACGCATCTTGTGGCGTTCAATTAAACTTTTTGCCATTGGTCTGTGTCTCAATTCGATGAGCGGAACAAATCTGGAGCAACTGCGTCTCATGGGTGTTCTGCAACGATTTGGAGTGGCTTTTCTGGTTGTCGGTGTACTGCATACAGTATGCAGTCGCAGGGATCCCATAAGTCCGCAAAGATCCTGGCAGCGGGCCGTACATGATGTGTGTCTATTTAGCGGAGAACTGGCAGTGCTCTTGGCCTTGGTAGCGACCTATTTGGGTCTAACATTTGGCCTTCGAGTGCCCGGATGTCCGCGAGGTTATCTGGGACCTGGTGGCAAACACAATTATAATGCCAATCCGAATTGTATTGGTGGCGCTGCGGGCTATGCGGATCTTCAAGTTCTGGGCAATGCTCATATCTACCAACATCCTACGGCCAAGTATGTTTATGACTCCACTGCCTTCGATCCGGAGGGTCTATTTGGTGAGTTTGGTTCTGTAAAATAAGCTTATGTATATAGAACGATTTTTAAAAAACTTAACCTATTATCTTTCCATTTTCAGGCTGCATCCTAAGCGTGGTACAGGTACTCCTTGGCGCCTTTGCGGGCGTAACTCTGCTGGTACATCCTACCTGGCAGTCGAGGATCCGTCGCTGGATGATCCTTGCCATCTTCCTGGGTCTTATTGGCGGTGCTCTGTGTGGATTTTCCCGTGAAGGTGGTGCTATTCCCGTGAACAAAAACCTGTGGTCGCTATCCTTCGTCTGCGTCACTGTAAGTTTGGCCCTGGTGATCCTGTCGTTGCTGTACTACTTTATCGATGTGCGGGAGACATGGAGCTGGTCAGGTTATCCCTTCACCGAATGCGGCATGAACGCCATTGTGATGTATGTGGGACATTCCGTGCTGCACAAAATGCTACCCTGGCATTGGCGGATCGGAGAAATGAACACACATTTCATGCTTCTGCTGGAGGCTACGTGGAATACCCTTGTCTGGGTGGGTATTGCCCTATATCTGGACGCTCAGGAGTTCTACTATAGCCTGTAGGAAGGACAGCAATATGCACAATATCCATATGCACAATTCATTTGCCAAATATATTAACGCTTTGTACATATAGTGATTTTTACGGATATATTGCTATCAAAGCACAAAGACCATGTTTAGTATTTGTAACACAATTCCGAATTTTGTTCGTTGTGGTAACGCAAATTAATATCAATACACAATAAATTATAAATTATAAAAATAATAAGATTCTGTATTGTGTCCAAAACAATAACAGAACAGCATATTTAAGTAGTGCATATGGAATTTTCTTTAATTTTAAAATCCTGCATTTACGATATCAAAAAGTCCAAAGTCCAAAAAACATCCAAGTCGATTTGCAAATTTCTCGATTTTTACCAGGCGAACAGAAGCAAATAGCAGGTGTAAAACGACCAGCTGATTGTTCTTTTTAACGTTGGCTTAGAGGTGTGGGTGTGATTACTAATTTTTGGCACGACCCTTTGAAGTACAAGGGACTTAAATAATTTTTCGTGCCTATCGTGCTAAATTCGTGATTCGACACTTAGAACAACGTGGTCGCCCATCGCTAGTTTTGTGCTTAGCTTCAAAACAACGGTTGTTTTCCAGTAAAAATGATGGCTGACAGTGGCAGCCATATTGAAATGGCAGCCATCTTGAAAAAATGTTCTTACTCAAAATAAACAGAAATCACTTGCTGCGGATTCTGTTCGCCTGGTAGCTGAAATACAAAAATCGATCTATTTGACTGCGGAAAAATGTCGTTTGGGCAGGAAATTCAATTGATTTCAACGATTTTGCTTTTTCAAATACCAGGCGAACAGAAACGCATAGCAGGTAACCAGAAATCTGTTGACTTACATATTGTTAGAGATGGCTCCGTGATTGCTGGTTTTCGACACACTCTTATCAAATGTATGGAACTCGAATATTATTTCGTGTTTATCGTGCTAATATCGTGACACGGACAATAAAACAATGCAACTTTCCATCTCTAGTCTGCGACGAACATTTCTAACTGTTAACTTCCAGCGAGCTGAAATCCTATTGGCTGACCAATCAGAGGGCTCGGAGATAAAGAACTTTTGGAGCCCAGCAGACGCTTGCTATGCATTCATGTTCGCCTGGTAGAAACCAAGAAATTCGATTTCTGAACTGCGGCCAAGTTTCCGCCAAGGAAATCAGTATTTTGTCTATAACTTAGCTTAGAAAGCTCCAAATTTGGATTGTGATACCTCATTGAGCTCGTAATTCAATTACCTGTCGATTTGCATTCAAATCTAGAAAATTGTATTTTGCAATTTTGATGTTGCTTACCCCTTACCAAAAATATGAACGTCCGAATAAATATACATTATTCATTAAGATTAATTGCGGACAGGTTTTAGTTTATTTTCAAATATTTTATTTGTATTTAGATTTAAAAAACATCTTTTAACACACAAATAATGGTTGGATTTTTGTTTTGTTTCGTTTGTTTAGGCATTCCTAAGGCTACAATTTGTTTGTTTCTGTGTGTTTTGGGTGGTTTCGCTCCTTCCCACGGCTTATGATCTTAAAGCCGCCACGGCGGAAAGGTTGAATTTTGTGTTCAACTACAGACTACAAGGGCACTGAACTACTACACGTCCAACTACTACGATAAATCGTTTTTTTTTTTGTTTGTTTTTTTTTTTTAAATTAAAAATGCTCTTCGTTCTGCTTTCCGTTTGATCCCCCGCTCAGCATGGTAATGTAAGGAGTGCAGACGATGACTAAGTTGGGCAACTAGACAAAAACAAGTCTGGCTTAAATCGTATTTACATAAACTAACGTCTAAGATAAGGTTGGATTTTTCGAAATATTAAATATTACTATATAATGATCTGGGGGAGCTGCTCCTTCGGCTGAGTATTCTACAAAAAATATTTGTAGGGAGATGGATACAAGTATAAATCGAGTTGTTAAAATGTATTTACATTATGCACCACTTGGGACACATCTTAGAATAAATATTGGGGAGCGCTCCTCTTAACTTTGAGATATAAAAAAAATAAAAAATACAAAAAAAGGTGAGGGATGTTGGCTTGGTGTTGCCATTAAATAAGTTGTTTTATAACAATGGTTACAGGGAGGTAATCCCTGCCAGACGCTAGGCATCTCCTATCTAACTATCTTTACCTCTATCTCTCTCTCTTTCCTTTTCGTTCGTTTATACGATTTTGGCTTCTGGAGGAGAAGGAGAAGCAGGTGACTCCGTCGCTGTTGCTGCCACAGCTGCTGTAGTTTGGCCCATAAATCTGGCGGGCTTCAGCAATATGATCTTAGGACTGGTGGCGATCTTTTTGCCCACCGTTGGAGTTATGGTCACCGTGCTGGGTGCTATGGCGTTCATGGCGGCCGTTTGATTGCTGGCCGCCAACGAAGAGGCTGGCAGTATGGTGGTCACTCCGTTCTCATGCTGAATGCTGCTGGTGCTATTGAATACTGCACGCATCTTATTGCCATTGCCCTGAGATCCGCCTAGTACGTTAATTTTGAGAGGTGCAGCCGCTACCGGTGGTGGTGCTCCGGCCTCTCGTTGTTGGACAATACGTGCCGTAAACTCATTACCTGCCAGCACCAGATTCTGCGGCTGACCGGCCAGAGGTAGACCGCTGGCCAGGATCAGCTGCATGCCTCCCGTTGCTCCACGTAGTTTCCATTCATCCTGCTGTAAAAATAAACAGAAAAGTCAGTAACAATCTTTTTAAATATCAATGAAGGGGGAAAACCTACCGTTGGTGGGCTAACAGACTTGCGTTCCAAACAATGCTCATCGAATCCGGAATCCGAGGAGTTGTCGCTGAATTTGGTGGCCACCGACGAAGATGTCGAGCAATTGGAGGAAGAGGACAGCGATGAGGGCGAGGCAGCGCCCACGGAAACCACTTGGGTCTGCGCCTGCGATTGAAATTGGCCGGATGCCTTGAGGATCAGCGACAGATTGGAATGTGGCTTCGGCGAAAGTGGTTGGCCGTTCGTTTCAGTCTTGCTCAATGGAATTGGACTTATACTATGAATATCACCCTGCGGAAATGACTCCGATTGTCGCTTATAGAACAAATGATGTTTCTTGAGTGGCCCAACCTTTGGTCCCTGGTTTTGAACTTCAGTTGTTGGCGGTGAGATGGTTGAATTCATTGTCTCCACCTGCTGCTCTTGATGTTGCTGCTGTTGCTCCTGCTGCTGCTTCTGTAACTGCATCTGCTGATGGCGTAGAAGCTGATGCTTTTCACATGGTTTATACAACTCCGGATCGATGATGTAGTAAGAGCTGCCAAGGGATAAGCTCTGGAAGACTACACCGCAACAGACCTCCAGGCGTACGAGATCACTTTCCTCAAAAAAGGGCACTTCGTCAACGGCCCGACGATTCTTCTGCGGTGGCAATTGACGGCGCCGATTGCTTCCAGTTACTTTGGGTCGTTTGCTTGCTTCTGTGTTGCCAATATTGACCAGGGCAGCGTCCGCCGTTCGCTTGCGCGTTTGGTAGGGAAATCCCAAAGTTCCACCCACTTCTGGGATCTGCTCATCGTCGTAGCTCTCGTTAGAATCGCTAGGTTGCTCGGAGGTAGGTGAAGTACTACTGGGACGATTAATACCACTGGAAGTTGATGGTGCTGCTGCCGCTGCTGATGATGATATTTGTGTCGAAGTCGGTGGAACCTTGCCCTTGCGGCTCTTCTTAAAAATTTTGGCAAACTTCTCGGGCAAAAACGAATTGGCACTGCCATTGCCGCCCTTGATCTCCGATTCGACGTTGTCGCGCTTTTTTTGTTTGGCCATTGATTTTGTTCCGGGTCCAGCACGGGCATCTACCACCTGAAATATGTTGGAGAAAGGGTTTAGTTCGAGGCGAGAGTCGATAGAAAGGTTTATTTGCTAACTTCACACGCTATACTTTCTATTTCATAACAAAACTAAAACCAACTTTGCCTACAACCAATGCATTTAAGAGTTGATTTCTTAAGTCCCAACAGATACTAGTCATTATCCTATTCCCCAAAGGCAATACTTACATGACCCCAGTGGCGCTTGCTGCCGACAGGAAGACGCTTGTACCGCTTGACCAAGAGCACGCAGGCGTTGCAAATCTCGCCGTTTCGGGGCTCGTGAAGATTGAAGCACTGCATTGACTCCTTTTCATACTTCCGAGAGGCGGTGAACCGGGAGCTACTCGACTTAGCCCGGCAAATGCAGCATCCATCGGTAGAGCGATAGACGCGTGGCTTATGGAAATTGAACATGGCTTTTTGTTAAGGTTTTGAGATTTATGGTGGAAATTTCAAGTTCTATAATGTTTTTTTTTTTAATGTTTTGTGCTTTGATTGTTTGACTTTGAATTGTTCTTTTGTCTGGTTTAAAAGTGATTTGGTTTTTAATATTAAATGTTTTTGTGTTCTGTGAATGTGCTGCGACGGTGTTCACTGTAGTTGTGCTACTGTTATTTGTGTGCGGACAATCCGTTGGTTTTTGTTGTTTTTAGCGCATATATTGCCAACATCCATTGCCCAGGCTTTACTGTAGTTGGCTGCATTTGTGCTGTAAAAAAAAAGTAATAGAAAATTAGTAAAATGCTTTTTTATTTAATATTTATATATGAATATAATACTATTCTGATATTTTACAAAACTTGTTTATAAACATTTCAAACAGCTGTTTTCATAAGTATTTTTCATTTCACTTGAACCTTTTCTGACAGTTGGCAAAATGTAATGGAAATCAAATACTTGTTAATACTTGAAAAAATGCTATCGAAAAACCACAAGCACAAACAAGAAAAAAAAAACCCGTGCGACATTTTGAATTTTCACCAAATTAACCGCGAGGGGAAAAACACCAACAAAATGCCTAAATATCTTATCAGTCGAGCGTAGCAAGTGGTTTATTTCCAGGGCAGTGTTAATTAAATTTAGCAAACATGTTTTAAATACACCAACCTAAGAACAACAACAATCTAACAAAAAACAAGACTGCTGATCAATGGGGGGTGTGCGAGCGAGATAGCTAGTTAAGCCACGCGCGCGCCGCACAAATACAAGCGCAACGTTTTCCGTGTTGCCTGGCAATACTTCTATGCGTGTAAGTGTGAGCAAATGCAACTTTCTTGTTGTTGTTTTTTTTTTCAGGGGGACCTGACTTAATAAACAAAGCGCTAAAAAGGAACCCACACACAAATACACTGTAAAACGCGCTCTTTCCTTGCTTTTATTCTTTATATTACTACTCCCCATCTCATACACAACAGCAGCAACAACAAGGCTGCGAGAAGAAAAAGAGAGCCGCTGTTTCTGAAGCTTCTTCTTTTCTGCCAGGTGCGTTGATGTTGTTATTTCGTTTTATTGTTTAATTTTTTTGGGACACTGATTTTTTAACTTGAACAGCCACTCTCGTTGCATTTGTATGTGTGTGCGTATTTCATGCACCGGCTCTACATCTGTATGCCTTTGTGTATGTATTTTGTCTCGCAAATCACTTCTTTTTTTTTGGATTTGAGGGGGAAATGCGGCGAAATTGTCCGACTTTTCTATTACTATCATTTCTAACATTTACCTTTTATAAACACAAACTTTTATTTGGTATTTTGTTACAAAAAACTAAGCACTTCTTTTTCTTTTAATGTACTTCCTAATTTAAAATTTAAAGGAAAGCGGCGGAGAAAAACGAAAACGCGTCTGCACGCGACGAACACAAAGGCAAATTGAAGAAACTGACGAAAAATCGACGCATGTACGAAATTGTGTACAAAGCGAATGCAGCGATAACGCGAGCAGCTGAGCATGCCGTCTCGCTCGCACCACCGCTGTGCGTGTGTGTACGTGAGAATGCGCGCCGCAAAAGCAACAGCGAAAAATTCAGGTTGTGAAAAAATAAAAACGTTTGTTACAAGCAGGGGCGGATCTAAAGGGAAATAAAATGTAATACTCATTAATTACATTCAAGTATTACTTGAAATTGTACAGGTATTGTTATTATGTCATTTGGCTCTGCTTTTGGTGCTTTTGCACATTTTGTAAGGAAAACATATGTATACCCAAAACCAAATTACATTCCCTCTAAAATACAACTTGGATACGCCTGGGTTTGCAACAGAATCGGTCCGACGTCGCCGGCAGGGTTGCCACCTGACAACAAACAAAAGAATGCAAATTGAGAAATATACATGAGATATGCAAATATTCAACGCAACATTAACACGCTCTTTTGTTGATATTCTTTGTTTGCACTGTGACTGATAAAGATAAAGCTGAAAACGTGCAGCGCAGCTGTTGTGGCTTCTTCAATCTATTTATAGCGTTTTTATTGCAGCACCTACACGCTTTTGTATTTTTCTTTCCCTTCCCACTTTGATTTCTTTGTTTTGTAATACGTGACCGGACACACGGCGTACGAGGTGGCAACTCCGCCTGACCGCTGCTTTACAACACTGTAATTGTTCTGTTGTCCCCTATTTTTGTTGTTTTGCTTGCATTCTTCTCGATTCCGCTTCTTCTTCTCCTTTTTCGTTCGGCGAAAGTGGCCGAAACAAGGCCCCAACATGTTTTACATTTACACATACGCAAGTGTGTGCGTAAGGCGGTCTACGTGCCGAATTAAAACAACATACAAAAAACCCAAAATAAACTAGGTCGCTTTACGTTTTGTTGTTGCTGCAATCAAAACAAATTGCAAAGCCGCCAATGTGTGTAAATGGAAATGTAAATGACGGTCTTGTGTGTATGTGTAAGCGACGCCTGCTGTTGCTTCTCCTTTTTTGCCTGCTTCTGCTTCTTCTTCGGTGGTCTTGCAAAATAATAAACTGTACTTGCGCGAAATTGAGCATGAAAACAGAACAAATTAAGGCTCTCTCTTTATGAGATATCGATATAGTATTAAAACATATGTATGTAGTAAACAGCAGCTGACCTTGTTTGATTTTCGCGCCTACAACAAGCAACGGAAAGTGAAAGACTCTGATTGGAATTCTCATAAGAATGTGAAACAGGTTGCGGGCATATAACGGTATACACACACACGCGTATATATGGTCAATGAAGCGTAATAGCAAAAACAACAAAACGCCGGAAAAAAAGAAAGTAAAACGGCAGAAAAGATTTAGTTTATACTTTTTAAGACTGAGAGAGAGAGGTAAAAAGAGAGCGAGCGGCTGTTAAGTAATAGATTTGCAGAGAAAGCGCGCGCAAAGATACAAAAAAAAATAATACACCTTTAAATGTATTGTGTGCCACTTATTTTTATATTGCCTCTTTTTGGCATTTCCGCACAATTACTGGAGTTTCTTCTTGGATCTTTTGACATTGGAAAAGTTCAAGCGGCTTTTGTTTTTCGGATTTTTACTCATTTTTGATCAGCGAAGGTCAACAACAAAACGAAAACCGACCACCACGCACACTAACGAATTCATACACAGATACATTCACCGCAACAACTTGTTGTTGTTCTCTAGTGTTTTTAAATTGTTCTTTAATTTTTGAAAAAGATCTTTAAACATTTACCTTAATCACGCTTTTATGACCTTTTTTTAACTATAAACTTTACTTTAACACTTCCTTTTTGCTTTTGAGTTTCAAATTTTCGGCAACCATTTGCATCCGCTTAACATAAGCATTTAGAGCAGCTGCAAGGGCTGATTGTTTTAAGTATTTTTGTTATCGATTATCGGTTGTATTTTTCAACGCAAATTTTAGTATTTTTAAAGCATGAAATAAAATAAACAAATCACAATTATTTAGGCATACTATCTCAAAATATATTATACCATTGTTAAATGTTGTATTCTATTTAATACTTTTATTCGTGTTATATGAGACCTTTAAATATTGTTTTCGTAGTGTTTCTAATTTAAACTTTAACATGTTTTTATATGAATTATACCAAGGATCTAGTATTATTGAGTTATCAAAATTATTTGTAAGATGAAATAAAATTAATTGTTTTGAATTTTCTTCACTTGTCCCTTAAAACTCTGAACAACTTCACTGTTAAATATCGATTACAATAAATAATACAATATCGTAGATGGCGCCAGATAACATATGGTCACCCTAATAAAAACGTCTTATTAAATATATCGATACTATCGTAAAAATAGTTTGGTGTGAATATTTTGCGACAATTAGGTCACACTCGTTGTTTTTTGTTGCAGACGTTCGTTTCGTCTTGTTTTTTCGTGTCCGTTTATATCGCTCCGTTTGTATGTTTCGTGTCGTGTGCCTCATCTTCGCAGGCTGCTTTGGTTAACAAATGTTAGTAACAAATTATCAGTGAATAAAAATCGGCAGTTAGTGCATGAATATCAGTTGCAGTTTTCTTGGCTGCATCACAAATATTAATTTTTTTCTGTGCGTGATTTTTTTTCTATGAATGCGCCGACGCGCCAGAAGTTTGTTCTTTTTTTTTTAATGTTTTCCTTTTAAAATGAAACGTGACTAGTTTGTTTTTAATTGGTGTGCAACAAAAACCAAAAACAAGAAGTAGAAGAGGCAGCAACAGGAGGAAAAGAAGCAACAGGAGAAAAAGAGCAACAGTCAAGTGAATTAATTTTTTTTTGTGGATGACGTCGCTGCCGACGTCGACGCCGTTGCGCCGCCGCATTTAGTAGTTGCTGGTGTGCTTGTGTGGGCAAAGTGCATCAGTGTAAGTGAGTGAGTGGGGAGAAAAGAAAGAGAGAAAGGGCGGAGTAAAAGTAAATGCGGGCAATTAGCATTTAATGCAATCACCATTAACCGCCCGCTATTGTAATTTACTCCACCTTACTTCACGCACACCACATAGCATACACTCACGCCCACAAACTAGTGGTGGTGCAAAAACTAAGTGCAAAAAAGCGGCGGCAACAACAATTGTCTGTTAATTGCTGGATATTTCGTAATACAGCAACAATAACAACGGTAGCAAACAGTAATGCCACAGTGGGCGCTCGTTAAAAGGTTATAAACCTAATAAGTTACTGCTTTCAAAGTCCTTAAAATAAATATCAAATTTTAAGTTTTCTTTATTTTTTTTTTTATCATATTATATATTAATTAGTTTGGTTAACTATCGTTTCCATTACCATTTATATAAATTTCAATGCATATTTTCAAATCTCCTTTGCTAAATAAAGTCCCTTTTACCAGAGATCTCACTGTACCAGTAGTAAAGCGCCGTTACAGTCGCACATGTGTGTGTGATAGTGTGCATCAAGCGACTGTTTTCGATCACTTCACAGTTGATCACATACACGGAGGCTTACATATGTGCAACGCACACGCACTTGTACTTTTGTGCGTGGTTTATATATTTTTATCTCCCCTCTCCCTTGCTCGCTGACACAAAAGATAGTGTCTTGCTCTCTTACTCTCTTTTAGTTGCTTTTCACCTGCAGCTTTCGCTTCTGCTTCTTCTCTTCCTACAACTGATACGTTTGTATAAGTGTGTGAGCAACAGTGCCGTTATAAATTTGTTTGCCCATAAAACATTTTTCCTTGCATTCGCCGGCGGTTGTAAATGAAAATCAGATTAAAATACAATTACTATGGACCTACTTTTTTTTTTTTATTATTTGTCATTTCTTATCTCTTCTCAACGATAATTCTCACATTTTCCCGTTACAGAGTGTGCAATACAAGTGCAATATTAATTAAGTAATAATATAAACGCAAATGTATATACAGTGGATATATACATATGCGAGTGCAATACAAACGAATGACCATGTTATAGCCATACAAAATACATAAAAAAAAAAAAAAAAAAAAAAAACATAAAACACCCCTCTTTGTACCATAACCTCCCTAACCTACAAAAAAAAAAGCAAAACAAAAATCTGCGAAACCTTCGACAATCATTGAGTTTTACTGTACTTGAAAAATGGACTGTGCCACGCGAAAACAACAACAATTACGGGCACATCATCAGCAGCAACAAATACAAAGACAAACACATGGACGAAAGAGGCGGCGATTACAACAACAAAACTGTTACCAACAACAGCAATATGTGTGGCTTGTTGTTGGCATTTTGACAATTTTTTGGACTCAGGTGAGTGAGAAAAAAACATAAAAGATAAAGATAAAACGACAGGTAAACCCAAAAAAGTTTTTTTTTTTTACCTTTTTTGGGGGTGAAATTGTTTGTTGGAAAATTCTCAGGATATCATTGGAAGAGGTTATAAAATATTTTGGGGGAAATATATGAATAAAATGTAAAATTGGAAAAAAGAAAGTTGAAAATTTAAAATTTTTGAATAATAACATCATAAAGTTGTATATATTTTAAAGTTAAAAGTTCTCCTGAAATTGTAATTGTGTTTTAATTTAAAATGAAATTGAAATGCATTGCTGCCTGGAATTACGCCGGTTATTTAATTACAAAATCTATATAATTTGGGGTTTTTCCAAAATTACAGCTTAACTATTTATCCAATTTGATTGTCAGAAAATGTCTTTATTCAGTTTTTTAGTTTTTTCTTATTTTTTTTTGTTGCTAGTTGGGTGCGTTTTTTAGGAACTCGTTTGTCCGGTTCTAGTTGAGTTTGGTTTTGTGCGTTATATTATATTTCAATATCAACTCGCTGAACCGCTCACTAAAACTAAACTAAAAATCTGACTAAATCTAGGTTTTAGCTAAAGTCTCTTGGAATTATATAAATCTTTAATTTCGAACATTGTTTTATGTTTGTTTTAGGGTCTTAAACCTGGTTTACTTGTTTTTCGACACAAATTTAAATACAATTATCATTATTAAACATCTCTCACTAACTTGAATGGCTTAAAATATTTATTGGCTTTGTTAAATTGACCAATTAAAAGTTGAAAATTTGTGAAAAGTCGATCTGAAATGAATGGCAGGTATTTTGTGACTCCTATAGGTGATGAATCCGTTGATTGTGTGCAATTTTGATGGGTGATTTGTGGGCCTATTCCAGTCATTATTCCTTGTTTTATTGACTGAATTTTGTTGTATTTTAGCCGCTGTTGTTGTTTCGTTTACAAAACTCGTTTCGTTTTTGCATTGTTGTCGCATTGTTGAGCACAAGCGAAAGACAATAAAAACAAAATCCCGCAGTAAAATGAAAAAAAAAAAAATACAAAAAAAAAAAAAAAAAAAAAAAGAGTAAAAAGCGAACGCAAGTAAAACTCAAGGTTGGTTCTGATGTCGCTGTCGTTGGAACTTCCTCACTCAGAAAAAAGTTTTGATGTTCTTTTTAAGGTCTAACTTTATTTTAACATAATACTATTATTTTTTAATAGAACTTTATGTTCAGTTTTATAGCTAAACTCGTTTAAAGAGCTTTAAAAGTTGTGTATTAACTGATAATTCCTGTTAGATTGATTTTATAATAGTTATTTATATATTTAAAATAGAAACTATCATCAAAAATTATATAAATTTTTTAAAATTCCCCGTTTCATGGCTTATTTTGATTCTTTTCTGTGTAAATAATTTACCATAACTTCTTAAATTCTTGGATAAATTGTTATATCAGTTTTGCTATATGTTTTATAACTCACGTGTGTCTGCCGCCTTGATTTTGGCTTTCATTTTATCGCGGATCGCGGGTCATTACGTGCCGGCTTATCGCCCGAACTTGGCCGAAAGTATTCGTATTACTAAGCGTCCAAAAAAAAAAAAAATGTTTATAAAAAATGCCAGCAAAGAAGAGTGGCGATGACATCAGCCAAGTTTTTTTTTTTGTTTTTGTTTTTGGGTGAGGAGAGAGTGGGGCGGAATTGATGACAGCGGCGTAACCACAAAAAGTAAGTGTGAGTGGTTTTGGATGGTTCGAAAACCCCAGCGATACTATAAATATGGCTAAATATCGGGCAGTCTCTAGATAACTTGATTTCCGTTTAAAAATGGTTATATTAAGATAAGCATAGCTTCGAAAAATCTTAAAACTTTACTATCAAGTAATCTTTTATATTAAATATTGATTAAAATCAACAAATAAACTAAACTCCCTTTCCTTTTTTTTTTTTTTGTTAAATTAGCCAATTAATACATCATCTTTTTCGTCAATCTATTGTCATTCTGGAAGCCATCTGAAAATTCAATTAGATTAGAGATCAAAAACGCAGTGCCGGCAATTAAGCTGATCCCTGGCCCCTATTTTCTTGGGATAATATTGGAACTGTGTCAAGTGTTTGGAGATGTGTTGAGGGAAATTAGGCAAACCACCCTTTGGAAAACCAAACTAAAGTCAAAAAACCACTCAATTGTTTGGGGAATCTTCCCTCTTTTTTGTTTTTTGTTTACAATTTGTAGGATCGATGTAAAATTAACTTTTGGTCAATTAATTGTAATTTTGTTTTCTTTTTCTGTGCTGTGGGGGCTTCTTCTTTGTTTTTTTTCTCTCTCTGATTCTTTAGAGGCTACTGTTTCTTCCACTTTCTTGTGGGTGCTTCTTTTTTATTACGTATATGTACTTCTTGAAGTGCCTGTGGTTTGCCAGTTTTAATGGGCTCTTGGCACCTTCTTCACTGTTTCCTTTTTATTTTTTTTTTTTTTTTTTTTTTGTACCATTACCATTGTTTATATGGCAGCTGAAGAGGAGCAGCCGAAGAATTAGTTTGGAGTTGGGTTAAAAAGAGAAAGATATTTACTACTAATTGGCATGCGGGTGGAGTTGGCTTAAATGGAGCAGACACTCCCACTGGAATGTCAGAATTTCACATTATTTTATGTTCACTTGCCATTCAAAAGGAATGTCCATCAGAGAAAAAAAAAAGACCACTGAACTTTAGAGGAATCTTTGGCTTTCTCTCAGCAAATGAGCAAAATAATGCAAAATAAATAAGACAGGAAGCGAATTCCATATGCAAAGTGACAAGTCAAACAGAGAATCGGAGAATATATATATATACGAGTATATCCATTTATGGCTTGTTAATCTCTATTTGCACTTGACTATAGACCCCATCAATTGAAGTGGTGGCGGGTTCTAAGAATAGATATATCACATGCTTGGGGTCCTACAATATAATTTATTCACTGGAGGGTGCTTAACTCTTTGCTTCTTTTTTTGTAATTAAAAAAAGAAGGGGAATGTTTTATAAACATAATAAACGGTTTTTTTTTTGGAAAGCTCAAATATTGATACTTAAACTTCAGTTTGTACAGTTTTTAAAATTTTATAATATGATTTCTATACCAGTTTAGTGCAATCTTTGCTTTATCCGGTTTTATTTTCCGTTGTTGAGTTTACTGACTTATATAAAAGCTATAAAATATTGTGTGTTGCTGTTGCTGTTGTTATATCGCTTGCGGTTGTTAAATGTCCATTTATCAATATAATTATTTATTTTTGTTAAGCATTTTTGTGATCTGTAGAGTTTTGCGTTTACATGCCATATTCAACTTCCATGACTTCTGGCTAATTTTTGTGCTGATCTCCAATTATTTTTGATCGTTAATCGTTGTACCAAATTCTTGCTCTCTCTTTTTTTTTTTTTTAGATTTTTTATTTTTTTTTATTTTGCTGTTCTGACAAAGCAACTACTAATTAATTGATATTAATTGCGGGGCCAACACAAAAAACTGGGCCAACTCGACCTGAACAACAAAAGCGCAAAACAACAACAGCAAAAAAAAACAAAAATGAATAACCAGCTAGCGAGAAAACAAAAATGATTTGCTTTTGGTCAAAATAAGTTCAAATTGCAGGTGGAAGAGCGGTTGGACATAAAACGACAATTTGTTTATTGGACACACAAAAGTATAGATATATCTTAAAAAAAAAAAAAATACAGAAAAAGACAAAAAAAAAAGAGACTACGCACGACACAAAAAAATTAAAGCAAAATTGAAGAGAAGCTTTTTGGCTCACCGAACTGGTTTTGATATTTGATTTTGCATTGGATTTGTGTATTTTTTTCTTTTTTTTGCTGCCCATCTCTCTCTTGCACGCGCATAAAAATAATTAGCAAACAACCTACAGCGTTTTATACTGACCAGAAAAAAAAAAATAAATAAAAAATGAAATAAAATCACACATTCGCAAGAAAAACAAGCCTTAAATTCGATCTCACGCATTCCACGTTTGCGATTTCAATTTGCGTTGCGTTTATTTATTCTTTTTTTTATGCCGCCCGGTTTTGATTTCGATTTATGCGGTATTTTCGCACTGGCTTCATATTTTCTGGTCACTTAGTAAAAAACTATTATAATAGTGTTTACTTTATTTTAGCAATTATGATGATTAAACGGGCGGTGTTATTAATTTTTTTAAGGTTCAGTGGAATATTTTTATGGAAATTACAAGTATAAAATATTTGATTTAATTTTCTCATTTAAAAAAAGATTATTTGTTGATATATTACTCCCAAACTTTCTCAAAAAATCCCCATGGGTTGCAAAAAAAAACGAAAAAACTAAAACACAAAAGTGAAAGGCAAAACCAAATAAAAACAAAAAACAAAAAATCAACCAACTTAAATTGTCAATCAAAATGGCTTAACCCAAATGTAAGTAACTGTCGATTAAACAAATGATAGTATGTGCAAATAAATCGAAATAATCGATTGCACCATTTCGATTGCAACTAATCGATGTTCAAAGGAAGTATTTAGCTGGTTCGATATCATTTTACTCAAACCATGTGATAAACTATGGCAATTTGAATTGATTTGACTTAATAACATATCGATTATATTGTTATAGTGATTTCGGAAATAGTTATTGCACATTTATCGGTTGCTATTTGGTTTTGTATTGTAAACTAGTTGAATGTTTTATGGCAGGAGATAGAATATAAAGGTTTATTTTTAACTTTTTATGCTTAGTTAAAACGTTCGAGTTCATATGATAACGATTACTCTTCGGTTTCCGCCTCATCACTGTCATAATCATGCCCCCATCATCCTAATTATGACCATTAGTATGATCATTTAGGCTTAAAGGTCATATTCATTTAGCAAATTGTGAAGGACAACAAAATTGAAAATAACAGTAGAGAAAAACAAAAGTTAGGAGGGCGTGATCAGAGGTGTCGATGATCAAAAAAAAAATATAATATTTAAAAAATGGGAGGGTTATATTTATTGTGAAAAATGGGCGGCTGATCGTTTTTGATTCGATTTGCCTAAAAAGCACTTTAACTTCCGTTTTCACATGCAATTTGCCATTGTTATTACTCATTTTTTTCAGTTTGCATGTGACATGCAATAAAAATAATCAACAACAACAACAACTGCTAAATCAAATTAAGAAATCATATTCAAATTGCATTTTCACTTCAAGCGTAGGAAAATTAGTTTTTCCTATCATTCATATATGCCAGCCTTTTTCCATTCACAGTTTTCAATTGCTATTTTCCGGATATGTTTTCTAAAATGGTCGGAAATTCCAGTTTTCTGGTGTAGAAATCTATTTTTTTTTGGGTAGACTCAGAAATTCGATATCGCATATCCGTTTTTTTTTTTATATTTTTGCTGACGTCAGCATTTGGCTAATGTCCGTATAACGTTCCAAACGTGATTAGCGTCATTAACATTTATATATAGATAGAAATATATATATATATAGTGTATATACCACCCATTAAATGATCACACCATAGGAAATTAACAAGTTGCCGGTAGAGACAATAAAACAAATAGATCGCCATCTGTTAATTTAATTTTTGCATTATATTTTTTATATGCGAAATCGCATTTTATTTGACTAATTAGCAGGTACTAGGGATATTTATTGCGCCATAATATGATCGGGATAGGAATGATATGGCTATTGGTTTCCTTATTTAAGGCGATCAGGTACGACTATTAAAGAAGTATCATTGCTTTGAAATGCAAATAATATATATGGAATGAGCCATTTGATATGATGATATCTATAAACAAAAATCAGGTAAACACTCGTCTGAAACCCTCAAAAGAAGATTCTTTAACGCTCAGTTTACAGTTTATTGGTAATTTAAATCTGCAAATTCCTGGGTATAGGCCCCAGAAATTGATCACCAACAATTTGGTCTTTTATTTACTTTTGATAAGCCAGACAGGAAATACGATCGAAGTTCTTTAATTACTTGAGAAATGCCCATCTTACGGAATTAGTAAACATATTTTGTTTATAAAGAAATGACACTAGAGTTAGTTTGCTTTTCGCATACCTAATGCTTAACTGCTACACTATAGGAAGGGTAAAAGAAATGCCAAGAGATCCGACGTGATTTTCCTTATTTTCGCTAAAATCACAAACGAGGTCGGGGTTGTGTGGAAAAACCCATTGTTGTGCCCATTTATATATATGTACATATACATATATACACATAGATGGTCATTCCAAAGGCCGCTCATTGAAGATAACTGATGTCTAGGTCGGTCATGTGTGATCCATATGTTGTGCTGTGGGTTTTGGTTTATATAATTCCAATTTCAATAACTGCACACAGCACGAGATGCAATCACTTGCAACCAAACGGAACCCTCGTGAATCACTTTCGTTTCCATTGTATGGCTGGCTCAGTAAACTATATACTATATATATATATATGTTCAAAAAGTAAGGTGACTCTTCAAATTTCGCGAATTTCAAATTTTTCGATTATCGAAACCTTTTAGAAGTTATACGAGGTGTGTTCAAAAAGTAAGGTGACTCTTCAAATTTCGCGAATTTCAAATTTTTCGATTATCGATTTTTTTGTTTTGTTATATTGGTACACTCTTCCCTAACATCTGTACCAAGTTTCAATGGAACATCCTCTTTTGTTTGGTTGTGAGAGGCGTAAAGTTACAAGTTATTTTGCGAGCTCGGCGATTTTTTGCTATCGAAAAATATGGATCAAAGGATTTGGATTTTTTGGCCAAAAACAACACCACAATAATGCCTCAGCCACCATATTCACCGGATTTGGCCCCATGTGACTTTTTCTTGTTCCCAAAACTGAAGATAATCGAAAAATTTGAAAAATTTGAAATTTGAAAAGTCACCTTACTTTTTGAACACACCTCGTATATGTATATATTATATATAGATATACTACATAATACAGTCATGATCACCAAGAGATCCACGCTGTTATCTCTTGATTTCAGTAGCTCTGTGATTAATGGGGATCGCCGCCGTCGGTCAAGAATGATTGCACGAATGTAGGTCAGTTTCGAGGTAAGCAAATGCGGATCTAAGGAGTAGACGTACCCATATCTCACAAAATCCCGATTGATATAGCCTTGGGGATTCACGGGCAATCTCGTTTACATGTTTATTTATAATCACATACAGATACTGTATGTATATGTTATACAAAAAATAATCACAACTACAAACATAGGTTTCCTGATTTTTCAGCCCTTAAAACAGAGCTCGCAATAAAAAATCAGAGCAATAATAATAAAAGCAAGTATAGGGGTTTTAAGTTTCGGTAGTTAGCTGCATAAAACAGTCTTTATTGAAGCCATGGGGTTTGTTTTGACAAAGTTAGAGCTAAGCAACGGCAACTAAACCGGGAGCTCTGCTGTCAAAAGACGTAGCATAATTTTGGGCACAAAAATTCAGTTTTTCAGCCATAGCACAGCCAAAAATGGTCCAAATGAGGAATGTAATACCTCGTAGAGCTCGTAATTTGATTGCTATGATTCCCAGTTGGTTTGCATTCCAATTTGGGAAACTTCATTTTTGGCCCATTTTTGAAAATTTTGATGATGGTACCCCTTATCAAAAATGCTAAATTTCGGCCAAAATTGATTTTCCCAAAATCGAAAATCGAGTGATAGGGGTAGTTAGTGTTGGTCATTAGCAGCACAAAACAGTTGTTCTTTTGGCTCTGCGGCTTGTTTTGACCGAGCTTGAGCTAAAATACCGAAAATACTACTCCGAATTTCTGTCAGAAATAGGTATTTCGATTTTTTAGTCATTAAATCAGAGCTCGCACAGAAAAACCAGAACAATAATGATAAAATTAAGTATAGGGGTTTTAAGTTCCGGTAGTAAGCTGCACAAAACAGTCATTGTTTTAGCTGTGCGGCTTGATTTGACAAAGTTAGAGCTAAGAAAGGGCAACAAAGCCGGGCTCTTTGCTGTCAACCGACGTATACGTGATTTTAAGCACAAAAAATTCAGTTTTTTAGCCATAGCACATCCAAAAATGGTCCAAATGGTGAATGTAATACCTCGTAGGGCTCGTAACTTGATTGCCATGATTCCCAATTGGTTTGCATTAAAATCTGGGGAACTTCATTTTTGGCCCATTTTTGAAAATTTTGATGATGGTACCCCTTATCAAAAATGCTAAATTTCGGCCAAAATTGATTTTCCCAAAATCGAAAATCGAGTGATAGGGGTTGTTAGTGTTGGTCGTTGGCAGCACAAAACAGTTGTTCTTTTCGCTCTGCGTCTTGTTTTGGCTGAGCTAGAGCTAAATTCCGAAAATAACGTTGCGAATTTCTGTTAAAAATAGGTATTTCGATTTTTTAGTCATTAAATCAGAGCTCGCACCGAAAAACCAAAACAATAATGATAAAATCAAGTATAGGGGATTTAAGTTTCGGTAGTTAGCTGCATAAAACAGTCATTGTTTAGGATATGCGGCTTGTTTTGACAAAGTAAGAGCTACGAAACGGCAAGGAAACCGGAATCTCTGCTGCCAAAAGACGTAGCATAATTTTGGGCACAAAATAATCGGATTTTTGGCCATAGCACAACCAAAAATGGTCCAAATGAGGAATGTAATACCTCGTAGGGCTCGTAACTTGATTGCCATGATTCCCATTTGATTTGCATTCAAAACTGGGAAACTTCAATTTTTCCCATTTTTCGCTTATTTTGATGATGGTACCCCTTATCGAAAAAACGAAAAAATGACAAAACATAAATTTCCCAAAACCCACCAGACAGTTTTATGGGTGGAAAGATGGGATCGTTAGCTGTTCAAATCAGTAAGTTGTTTTCGTATGGGACAATTTTTAGTCGAGTTACGATAAAAAACTTAAAGAAAATATCATAATTTGCGAGAAATCCTTATCTTGCATTTCCCAAGTTACAGGAAACTCGGATCTCAATATTGTATTGTGGTCAAAATAATGCAAATAATGAATACTCAATCACAAAGCACAATAAACTTTAGACTAGAACTGTTTTCGTTAATTACAAACTTACAACATTTTCAAACTGGTGATGTGTTTTAGGAATTTCTTAAGATTTACGGTGACTCTGTATCAAGAAGAAAAAAAACCTTGACTTACGTAATTGTTGCGGTTAGAACTTGATTTATTTATTCAGTTCTAATTAAACTGTTTTTAAGATTATTTATAGACGCTATTAACCAGAACTTGAGAACTTTTCGCGCTGGTTGGGGTTTTATTTAAATGCTTTGAGCTCTGGTTTTTGTACTTTTTAAAAGTGCCTTGATTTGTTGGGTTTTAATTAGACAGGCATTTTAAGTAGTTTCGAAAACCCTATTAGTTATTCGAATTTATTGTAATGGTTTTATTTCTTCCCTTTTTAGCACACAAATGCCGCTGATCTGGTGATTAATGTACCAAATGCGAGCAGCAATGACAACGCCTTCTACAGGATCGACTATAGTCCGCCCTTTGGCTTTCCAGAGCCAAACACCACAATCCCGGCCAGCGAGATTGGCAAGGACATCAAGTTCTCCAGAGCTCTGCCGGGAACGGAGTACAACTTTTGGCTGTACTATACAAATTCCACGCATCAAGAGCTGCTTACCTGGACGGTGAATATAACAACAGGTAAGTGTCTTATTATACCCGTTACTCGTAGAGTAAAAGGGTATACTAGATTCGTTGAAAAGTATGTAACAGATAGAAGGAAGCTTTTGCGACCCTATAAAGTACGAGGTGTGTTCAAAAAGTAAGGTGACTTTTCAAATTTCGCGGGCAACATATTTCCGATTATCGATTTTTTTGTTTTGTTATATTGGTACACTCTTCCCTAACATCTGTACCAAGTTTCAATGGAACATCCTCTTTTGTTTGGTTGTGAGAGGCGTAAAGTTACAAGTTGTTTTGCGAGCTCGGCGATTTTTTGCTTTTTTCGGTCTTGGCTCGTCTGGGCTCTTCCATTGGGACGATTGGGCTTTGGTTTCGATATCATAACCATATACCCATGATTCGTCACCAGTTATGACCCTTTTGAGTAAATCTGGGTCGTCGTTGACGTCATTCAACAGCTCTTGAGCGATGCTCATGCGACGGTTCTTTTGCTCAAAATTCAGCAATTTCGGAACAAACTTCGCTGACACACGACTCATACCCAAAACGTTTGAAAAAATTTCATGGCACGAGCCAAGCGATATACCGACATCTTCAGCAACTTCTCTGATAGTGATTCGACGATTTTCCAAAACAATTTTCGTCACTGCTTGAACGTTTTCATCAGTTGTTGACGTGCTTGGGCGTCCAGAGCGAGGCTGGTCATTGGCATCTTCCCGGCCATCTTGGAAGAGTTTGTACCACTTGTACACATTTTTTTTACTCAGAACAGTTTCACCGTATGCCACTGTCAACATTTCAAGTGTTTCAGAGCACTTAATTTTATTTTTTACACAAAATTTGATGCAAATCCTTTGATCCATATTTTTCGATAGCAAAAAATCGCCGAGCTCGCAAAACAACTTGTAACTTTACGCCTCTCACAACCAAACAAAAGAGGATGTTCCATTGAAACTTGGTACAGATGTTAGGGAAGAGTGTACCAATATAACAAAACAAAAAAAACGATAATCGAAAATATGTTGCCCGAGAAATTTGAAAAGTCACCTTACTTTTTGAACACACCTCGTATATATATTCTTGATCAGGATCAATAGCGAAGTCGATTGAGCGATGTCCGTCTGTCCGTCTGTCCGTCCGTCCGTATGAACGCTGAGATCTCAGGAACTATAGCAGATACAAAGTTGAGATTAAGCATGAAGATTCTTGAGGTCCCGGGACAGCGCAAGTTTATTACAGCATCCTGCCACGCCCACTCTAATGCCCACAAATCGCAAAAAACTAAAATTGCTGAAATCTCAGGAACTATTGCAGATAGAAAGTTGAAATTCAGAAAGTATAATCTTTAGATGGCAGCGCATCTTATAGTGGTACTACTATCCGGCCACACCCACCCATACGCCCACAAGGCTCAAAAGACGGTTTTCGGATTTTCGAGAAAAGCTGATATCTCGGTAACTATAAGAGATTGAAAGTTCGGATTAAGCATGTAGGTTTCGATGATGCTCCCAATGCGAATTGTTTTTTTCCGATCAAGCCACGCCCACTCTAACGCCCACAAAACCCGAAAAACCAAAAATGCAAAAATCTCGAAAACTATAAAAGCTACACAATTTTGCTTAGGAACACGTATTTAGGAGATGCCTCTGCAACTTGCCACGAAGTTGCATCCGGCCACGCCCACTCTAACGCCCACAAACCGCGGAAAACTGTGGAGTCTATAATATTATTATGAATGCCTTCGTTTGACCTTGTGTAACTTATTTCTGTTAATATCTATCGATTTACCAAAGATTTTTCAAATCGGAACATTATATCGCTATTTATATTTATCACATGGGCAGTGACGTCACTGTAGGCATACCCAACATACTTCCTCTGACAATAGGTGGCGCATTGTGAATTTCCACTAGCAAAATAATATTTTAAAATGTTGTAAAACAGTAACGGGTATCTTATAGTCGCGGCACTCGACTATAGCGTTTCCTCTTGTTTAAAATTGTAAAATAAAGATAATATTTTATTTTTGTTTCCTTTCCAAAAAAAAATAGCTCCTGATCCTCCAGCTAATCTGAGCGTTCAACTGCGCTCCAGTAAGAGTGCCTTTATAACGTGGCGACCGCCGGGTACTGGTCGATATTCGGGATTTCGGATCCGAGTGCTGGGACTCACGGATCTGCCCTTTGAACGTAGCTATACGCTGGATGGCAACGAAACGCTGCAGCTTTCGGCCAAAGAACTAACCCCCGGTGGAAGTTACCAGGTTCAGGCCTACTCCGTTTATCAGGGCAAGGAATCGGTGGCCTATACGAGTCGCAACTTCACCACAAGTAAGTCAGGACAAAGGATTGGAACGCGTAGTCCGCACCGCAGGTGCAATTTCTAATCCAACAGATATCGAATATATATTTTTATATATATATATTCGAATATCAGCTAACTTGCAACCCGTAATCTGGTGATGGGCCATGACTAACATTTCAAATTCTATTTGTCTCCCGTGTCTCTCTCTCTCACTTTGAAAATAACTATAAAATGCTCTCAAGTCGGCGGGAAGTCAAAAATCTGTTCAACCTGAAGGTAACCTTCTTCTACACACAAAACCCAACTAAATCCTTTCCTTAATTAGCTTATTGTCCTTTTTTAAGAATAGTTAAATTTGTTAATAAACGATTGACGGGTCAGTTGATTAGTATAATTTCCTTACGCTTTCATACAGTGGCGCCCAATTCGTTTTGTTAAATTTTTAATATTAGTTTAAATAGATTTTTAGATAATAGATAGATTGGGTTGAGGTTTTGGGTACCACTGTGTTGGGCGTTTTGCGTCTTTATTTGTCTTAAAGTCGATGTGGTAATGTTTCTTGATTTCTTGTAAATAATTTGGATTTATTTTTTATTTCGAAAAATGTAAATATTTTACAGAGATTATTAGATAATTATTTAATTAGAAACAATTAGTGAAGCAATAACAAAATTGACTGTGGAATGTAGTAATTTATTTTTTATTTAACAATCCTAATAATCTGCACTAACCCAAATTCCCTAATCAACTCACATTTAGATGTTTAGTTTAGACTTTCATTTGACCAACTCTCATTGCATCTCCGAATCCCTTTGTGCATCCGTTGCATCTCCATTTACCGCATAGAACCCAACACTCCGGGCAAGTTCATCGTTTGGTTCCGGAATGAGACCACATTGCTGGTGCTGTGGCAACCACCATTTCCTGCTGGAATCTACACTCACTACAGGGTATCCATAACACCGGACGATGCCATACAGAGTGTATTGTATGTGGAACGGGAAGGAGAGCCTCCGGGACCGGCTCAGGCGGCTTTCAAGGGTCTTGTTCCCGGCAGGGAATACAATATATCGGTGCAAACGGTTTCCGAGGATGAAACATCATCGATACCGACCACAGCCAGATATTTAACCGTACCAGAACGTGTCCTGAATGTCACATTCGATGAGGCCTATACCACATCGAGTTCCTTTCGCGTGAGATGGGATCCACCGCGAACGTATAGTGAATTCGATGCCTACCAGGTGATGCTCTCCATGTCGCGAAGGATATTTAATGTTCCGCGTGCAGCGGAAGGCGAGTCGGTATACTTTGATTATCCAGATGTCCTGGAACCGGGACGCACCTATGAAGTGGTGGTCAAGACGATAGCAGACAATGTGAATTCATGGCCAGTCAGCGGAGAGATAACATTGCGTCCACGTCCAGTTCGTAGTCTGGGCGGATTCCTCGATGATCGCAGTAATGCCCTGCACATTTCCTGGGAACCGGCGGAAACAGGCCGACAGGATGCCTACAGAATAAGGTAGGAGTAAGGATTAGCTTTCCGATTTGAATTCTTATTAAAAACAAGATTATATATTTACCTTTAGCTACCATGAGCAGACCAATACAAGCGAGGTGCCGCCACTATTTCCAGTTGTCACCGAATCCCAGATCACCACGAATCTCACGGAGTACACACTGGATTCGCTGTTGGCAGGACGTCGCTATCTGATTTCTGTCCAGGCATTGTCTAAAGGTGTCGCCTCCAATGCCAGCGATATCATACGCTATACACGTCCAGCAGCGCCATTAATCCAGGAATTGAAGAGCATCGATCAGGGTCTCATGCTTAGCTGGCGGAGTGATGTGAACTCTCGTCAGGATCGTTATGAGGTGCACTATCAGCGTAATGGAACGCGCGAGGAGCGCACAATGGCCACCAATGAGACGAGTTTAACGATTCACTATCTACATCCTGGATCAGGTTACGAGGTTAAGGTGCATGCCATCAGCCATGGGATCCGAAGTGAACCGCATTCATATTTCCAGGCAGTCTGTAAGTAGAATATATAGATATTAATAACCATATACTATCCAAAGATTAAGCATCTAAGGAGGAATAGCCAATAGCCAAATCTTCTTTATTAGTTTTAAACGTCAGCAAGTTTGTTAGCTAATATCTGGTTTAAGATACTTTGTTGCAGCGCTAGAATTTGTTTAGACATAGCAACCGATTGATAATATATGCCGTAATCCTGTTAAATTATGAATTAAATTCGTTTATTGAGCGCTGTTGAGCTCCTAATTAGTGGACAGGCCAAACTGGTTGTGTGGTGTAACCACTTTTCATCTGCTATGCTAGCTACTCATGTCATATTTTAGTTTTGTTATAAGAAGCTAGTTTTTGGTAATAGTTTGCTAATTGCTAATATTTTACACCTACTTCCCCCCCTGACAGTTCCCAAACCGCCACAGAATCTCACCCTGCAGACAGTGCACACGAATCTGGTGGTTCTCCATTGGCAATCACCGGAGGGCAGTGATTTTAGTGAATATGTGGTTCGCTATCGTACGGATGCTTCTCCCTGGCAGCGGATTGCCGGATTGCATGAGAACGAGGCAAGAATCGAGGATATGCACTATGGCGAACGTTATCTGGTGCAGGTGAACACCGTTAGCTTTGGCGTTGAGAGCCCACATCCGCTTGAGCTGAATGTGACGATGCCACCGCAACCGGTTTCTAATGTGGTGCCATTGGTGGATTCACGTAATCTCACCCTGGAATGGCCCAGGCCCGACGGGCATGTAGATTTCTACACGCTCAAATGGTGGCCAACCGATGATGCCGATCGTGTGGAGTTCAAGAATGTTAGCCAACTGGACGACTGTGAGTTGAATATTCCCTTCTATTGTTAATCTAATCTAATCGTTTTGCTCTTTCTTTAGTAAGCTCACCCAGCGTAAGGATACCTATTGAAGAACTATCCCCAGGTCGTCAGTATCGCTTTGAAGTACAAGCCAGTTCCAATGGCATTCGTTCCGGAACTACTCATCTTTCCACACGCACCATGCCACTTATCCAATCCGATGTCTTTATTGCGAATGCTGGACATGAGCAGGGTCAGGACGAAACTGTGACCCTTAGCTACACACCCACTCCAGCGGATAGCACTCGATTCGATATATATCGCTTTTCTATGGGTGATCCAAAGATCAAGGATAAGGAGAAACTGGCCAACGATACGGAACGTAAGTTGAGTTTCTCGGGATTGACCCCAGGAAAGCTGTACAACGTTACCGTTTGGACAGTGAGTGGAGGAGTGGCCAGTTTGCCAGTCCAGCGGTTATATCGCCTGCATCCGCTGCCCATCAGTGACTTAAAGGCCACTCAGGTGGCTGCCCGTGAGATCAGTCTACAATGGACAGCTCCTGCTGGAGAATATACCGATTTCGAACTGCAGTATTTAAGTGCTGATGAGGAGGCACCACAATTGCTCCAGAATGTGACCAAAAAGTCTGAGATTACGCTGCAGGGCTTGCGTCCGTATCATAATTATACATTTACCGTGGTGGTGCGAGCTGGTTCCACCCTGGGCGCCGATTCGGATGTTTCAGGCAGTACATTGATGCGTAGCAGTGCTCCCATATCGGCGAGCTATAAAACGCTGGCTGCACCACCCGGAAAGGTGGACTACTTCCAACCGAGTGATGTGCAGCCCGGTGAGGTGACCTTCGAATGGATTCTGGAAGCCGGCGAACAGCATGGACCCATTGACTATTTCCGCATTATATGCCAGAATGCCGACGATGCAGCTGATGTGTCAAGTTATGAATTCCCGGCGAATGCTACGCAGGGCAGAATTGGAGGTTTGGTACCTGGCAACCAGTATATATTCCGTATCCAAGCGAAATCTTCGTTGGGTTTTGGAGCCGAAAGGGAACACATTCAAATAATGCCCATACTGGCACCTCCTGTCCCAGAACCCAGTGTAACACCCTTGGAAGTTGGCAGGACGAGTAGCACCATAGAGATCAGTTTCCGTCAAGGTTACTTCTCCAATGCCCATGGCATGGTGAGATCCTATACGATAATCATAGCTGAAGATGTGACCAAGAATGCGTCCGGTTTGGAGATGCCCAGTTGGCAGGATGTCCAGGCATATACCGTGTGGTTGCCCTACCAAGCAATAGAGCCATACAATCCCTTCCTCACCAGCAATGGCAGTAGAAGAAACACTCTGGAAGCGGAGCATTTTACGATAGGATCAGCCAACTGCGAGAAACACCAGGCGGGCTATTGCAATGGTCCACTGAGGGCTGGAACGACGTACAGGATTAAGGTGCGTGCCTTTACGGACGAGGATAAGTTCACGGATACGGCGTATAGTTCTCCGATAACGACCGAACGTAGTGATACCGTAATAGTGGCTGCCACCATGGCGGCGGTGTTGCTGGTGGCAATGGTGCTATTGGTGGTATATTGTCAGCATCGCTGCCAATTGATACGGCGTGCCTCCAAGTTGGCCCGCATGCAGGATGAGCTGGCCGCCTTGCCCGAGGGTTACGTCACACCTAATCGTCCGGTTCATGTAAAAGATTTCGCCGAACACTACAGACTCATGTCGGCCGATTCGGATTTTCGTTTTAGCGAGGAATTCGAGGAACTGAAGCATGTGGGACGCGATCAAGCTTGCAGCTTTGCCAATCTACCCTGCAATCGGCCCAAGAATCGATTCACCAATATCCTGCCCTTTGATCATTCGCGTTTTAAGCTCCAGCCGGTGGACGATGACGATGGTTCGGATTATATTAATGCGAACTATATGCCGGGACACAATTCCCCGCGTGAATTCATCGTCACCCAGGGACCATTGCATTCCACACGCGAGGAGTTCTGGCGTATGTGCTGGGAGAGTAATTCACGGGCCATTGTCATGCTAACGCGATGCTTCGAGAAGGGACGTGAGAAGTGCGATCAATATTGGCCCGTCGATCGGGTGGCCATGTTCTACGGGGACATCAAAGTGCAGTTGATTATTGACACGCACTTCCACGACTGGAGCATATCAGAGTTTATGGTCTCAAGGGTAAGTATTTGATAAGCGCACTTGTATTCCCTTTCCTTAATCACCTTATAATATTTTTGCAGAATTGCGAATCGCGGATAATGCGGCATTTCCATTTCACTACATGGCCGGACTTTGGAGTTCCAGAGCCGCCGCAATCGCTGGTGCGCTTTGTACGCGCCTTCCGCGATGTCATTGGCACCGATATGCGTCCCATTATCGTCCATTGCAGTGCAGGAGTGGGCAGATCGGGCACGTTTATAGCTTTGGATCGTATACTGCAGCACATTCACAAGTCAGATTACGTTGACATCTTTGGCATCGTATTTGCCATGCGAAAAGGTGCGAATTTTTGTTTTGATTTGAAATTATTTGAACTAATGAATATTTCCACATATTTACAGAGCGCGTTTTCATGGTGCAGACGGAGCAGCAGTATGTGTGCATCCATCAGTGTCTGCTGGCGGTGCTGGAGGGCAAGGAGCATCTGCTGGCCGATTCACTCGAGCTACATGCCAACGATGGTTATGAAGGTGAGTTGAATAGTATACTCTTCCTTCCTCTAGTTGGAATCCCAGAAGTATTCCCCATTTTGCCCCCTACCCCTCTTATTCTATCTGATTTTTCTCTATTTTTTTCACTCTCTCTTTTTGGATCAAGTTTTATGATTAATTCTTGCTGATTAACTTAATCTGTTTTTTTAATGAACACACACACACAATTTGGATACGGGCTGCTCAATAATTTGCAATTTTGGTGTTTTCTTTTTGTTCATATTGATTTTTCTGTGGCTGCGGTTTTCCTAGGTTTTTCCCCTTTTAATTTATTTGAGATCGTAACTAACCATATTATATTTTTCAATAATTTATTTTCTTCTTTCTTTTCACAATCATAAACAAACACACCATCCATCATCACACCAATTAAAACACAATTGTAAATCACACAAAAACCGCCTAACCTACACACCTTTTCATATGCTTCTATTCCTGCAAATAAATTGAAAAAAAAAACCAAACATAATCCAATCAAAAACCCCGAAAAAAAACACAAAAAAGTGACTAAAATTTACTTAGAGCGCCAGCCGCAAACCAAAATGGGAACCTTGCCCATAAGAGCTTCTTTGGCCAGGGCCGAGGAACTGGATGCTGATTTAATCGCTGACAAGGATCAGGACGAAGATGAGGAGCAGGAGCTGCAAAAGCAGAAGCAGCAGTTGACCAAGGAAGAGAATCACAAGACTAGCCATGATGATGATCATCATCATAATAATGATGATGACGATGATGAAGAGGAAGATGAGGATGAGGACGATGATGACCAGCAGCCGTTAAACAATGAAACAACGGCCACTTTATCATCGGCCAGCTGTAGTAGCAGCACTCAGGATGTTCATGTGGTTATCCAGGAGGCCATAGAGCAGCATCCCAAACAAGATCAGGAAAGAATCTGCACTGGCACAAAGGCCACGGCCATCCATTCAGACACTGACACTGACACAGACGACGACGACGACGACGAGGAGGCCAAGGATGGGGCTGTTGCCGATGAGGATGGCTGGTGGTATTGATAGAAAAGTCGACTTTTTTCTAGGTTTGTACCCACAAAACAACACAACAACACAGACCCAACGAATTTTGAATGCTCCATGCCCGCCCAACTCCCCCCCAAAAAATGACTTGCTTTAACTCGCTTTTTTATACCCCAGACTAAAAAGAAAAAAACAAACACGAAATTCTAACCGCACTGGCACAGTAACTAACATTGACACATGAACACGGTTATGGGTTGATTAAAAACAACATATTAGATATTCAAACAAACAAAAAATAAAAACATATAGAGAAAAATTCAAAACCCACATTAGCCTGTCTTAGTTTATGTGTTATGTTCCTTGCATATTCCAATCATTTAGATCACTTTTTTTTTTTTTTTACTATAAATTATTAATTCAACTTTTTCAGATGACGAGGGCATAGCTGAGACGGGAATCTGAGGATGCTCTTGCTGTGCTGTTTTTGGGGAATATCTACATAAAGATATATATATATAGTTATTTTTTTTATACATATACTGTACGTAAAATCTGCCTGTGATGTGCTGGATGTGATTTGTCTACAAAATGGCATTTGGAGTTGCTGTCAAATGAGTTGAGTTTTGTGGCCTTTATCCTGCCAAGTCGGTTTGGGAGAAAAGGCCTCAAGTTTTGGCCTGTGCCATTTATGCGCGTGTACGCTGTACCGCCTGTTTGCCATAGAGCTAAGCTAGCTAGCCCGCTTATTTAATGTGTAATGCCGCCAAAATTAGACCAAACCAACAAGAGCGTAAACTTAAGCTTCAGGTGTAATAATCTATTACCTATTTTATACTATTTTATCAATACACCTGTACCTATTATCTACTATATATATATATATATATCACTATTATTACTATTACTATTTTGCTCTTTGCGTGTTGTGTATAGAAATTTGTAAATTTGTTTCCATTATTTTTTTTTTTTTATATATATATATAATGTGTGCGCGTCGATCGATATTATATGGACTATATTTACGATTACTATTAATTCTAAAAACGATTGTGTATTATTTTTATTATTATTATAGTTATAGTTATAGTTACTTTATATCGATAGACTTTAGTCCATGATTATTAGTCAGCGAAATGTTGGCTCTAACTGCATTGCAGCTTTCCACAGCTTGCTCTTTGGCCATTAATCTGTCTCGAATTATAATTATATATGTACCACATATATGCGATTCCATTGGATCTGGCCAGGGCAGCAATTTAGCAATTTGTAACATTTTGTGCAGTTAAAGTTATTAGCATTTATTTTTATTGTATTTAATTATTTTATTTTTATAAATGTGCATCTACACAAGATCAATAAATTTCTATTGAGAACATGAACGAACAAAAAAAAAAAAAAATAATGGTTTTATTTATTTGTGATAATAGTAGGGGAAAGAAAGCTTTGATTTTGGTCAAAACACAGGTTTTTAGTCTAGAGCAAAAGTATGCAAACTTTTATTAGGTAGGAGCAGCTTAAAAGCATGCTGCAAAATATGCATCAACTTTAAGCTGAGCATCGAAAATGTCAAATTTAAAATTGTTGGGAATAAAAATGAATAAATTTTCGAAAAATTTAATGGAGGTGTAGAAAAGAAACTTCAAAAATGAACTTAAAGGCAGAGTATTAAGGCATGAAACCATAAATTCATGGACAAATTTAAGATTACTAAAGATAAGGTCTTACAAATTTCCTTTCTTACTAACATTTTCAAATATTTAAAATGTGAATTTCTAATATTAAAAACGATTCCCAATAATTCTCGATAAAAGCCATTGCTTTTGAGAGATGCTATGCCATGGCTACATTTTCATTATAAATTTCAAAAGCGTTCTGACCGCAAATGAGCTTTCTCCTTAACAAGATTTCTAGCAAATAAATAAAATATTTTTTTAATTGTGATCCGATTTTGATGGGATTTCGAAATTTCCCAGCACCATGAAAAGAGAACAACAAACAGACAGAATAGACCAGACGACCAGACAGGCGGGCATTTAAACCATCTTAATGGGCTGAGCAGGCCAAATACAGCGAAAATGATCAAAGCAATTATAAGGCAACTTCAAATGTTTGGTTCAATGACGACGAGGAGGAATAGAGTTGGATAGCTAGTTGCAACATGCTAGAAGCTATATTGGCTGCATTTGATCCGATTGCAACAAGTTCCAGGAAGAGGAAGACAAGGATCGAGAGCCAAGAGCCAAGATCATCATCATCCAAGATCATGATCAATATGAAACTCTAGCTGATCGTGTATGTCAAGACCGAGTCGGCATTCGTTTAAACAAATAAAGCTCGCGACTAATTGCATTTGCACTTGTTGTGCGATATTTCTTTGGCTGGAAAGAATTGCAAACACGGTGCCACAGTGGATGGAATACGAAAGAGTTGGTGGTGCAGATACGAGTATGTTCGTTCTCTTTGGTTAAAGATGGGTAACTGAGCACAGTTTAAGACACGTCATTTGTCATTTATCTTTCGTGGCCTTTTAGCGTTTGGCTTAATTGACTTCTTTGCCATCAACATAGCTGCAGCGAAAAACCAAAAGCCAAGCCAAGAGAGACATATGGGAAAAAAGTTTTAACTAATATGATAAAATAAATCTTTGGTTTATCTTCCATATAGAAATTGAAATTGCGAATTTTTTTTAAAGAGATTAAAAAGCTTCTGTAGCCTGCCTTTCAAAATATCTTATATAAATAGGGCATTATTTTCTTCTGTGTATCAACTTTTCCTCAAGTTCTTAGCTAAAAGTCTAAGTTGAAGTTTTGGTCTCATCATCTCGCGGCTTCTCAACGCTTCGCCTTGTCTTATGGTCAATACCAATTGACCGTAGTGCGGAACATTTAGCTTCATTACGTCGGGCCATGTTTGCTGCCTTGGCCATCATCGCACTGCAGAACCGTTTTAATTAGATGTAACCATAATAAATCATTGGAGAGCCAAAATCAAAATCAGTAAGGAATGCAGACGCATTGAAAGGGAATTTCCAGGTTACCAACTTGGGGTCCTTCTTAGGTAGTACCACCACCGGACAGAAACCAAGAAATACAGTGAACTATAACTATTACAGAAATCTTTTATATACGATTTTGGTAATCTAAAAAACCCAGTGGGATACCTAACCGAATCCCTGTTTAAAGTTAATCAAGTTCCGAGAGGCATGTGAATCCAAAAACTAATGGAATACAAAAACTTGGACTTTGGGACTGTAGTTATATGCCGTCTTGATCACCTTTTTCTCAGTTCTCAGTTCTCAGTTCCCAGAGCAAAGAGTGATGTTCTATTGACATGCAAGTTGGCAGTTTTGGCCGGGCCATAAAGTTCTGCCTGGCAAATGATGTTTTTTTTTTGCTGCCCACCCTCAAAGCCTGGCGGCCTTTGAGAAGTTGGTTTCGTGTTGTTTTGGTGTTGGTTAGACTCACTCCACGTTCCCTCCTCTCCCAACTATTTGCTGATGTATTCAATCCATTGGATTATTGTCTACCCTCGGCATTCGGTTCTTAGCTAGCCGATCTATTAGAGCTGTTCTAGAGCCGGACTTAACCCACATTGTGGCCATTAAAAAGCCATTCCCCATTTGCCGAGGATGGCCATTTGACAACGCCCGGTGCGAAATGCAAAATGCAAATTGCACTGGCAATTGCCACGCTTCATTCCGCCCCCTCATTTACCCGCTGATTCTTGCCATTTCATCTCTCTCTCTCTTCAATCCGCAAACCCCCAAACCTCACAATCCTCACCACAGTCCAGACATCACCCACTGCATTTGCCACATCTTAGATAAGTGCATTGTGCATTGCATGCAATTTGGTTGCATGTATTGCCGGCACAACAGCAGCAGCAGCAACAGCAACAGCAACAGCAACAGCAACAGCAACATGCAATAGCAACAACAGACCCTGCAACTTTGCCTTGCTCTTGGTCTTGAACTTGTGAATTTGCTAGACAACAAGCCAAAAACCAGGAGAAGCAGCCACCATCGGCAGCAGCAACTACTGCCAGCAGCAATCAGCGGCAAGTGAATGAGCTTAAATTGTCCAAATGACAGTGGGCTTGAAAGTTGATTTATCATACAAAAATGATATCAATAACTTTTGAGTTTTTAAATCACATAAAAGGGGTCTTTGAGGTTTAAGATTTTCATAATCTTAATAGACAGAAATGTTTTCTAATTTAAGTTTTAGTTAAGATTTCAGCCTGATCCACTGTGCGCGCAATTGCTGGAGGGGAGTTGGTTTTCAGTCGGTTTTAGTGGTGGCCATGATGATGGCTTCGCTGGCTGATTCTGCAACCCATCAGCCGCCCATTCCCTCTGCCTTCTCCTTGGTGCCCATGGTTGGCATGTTGCTGCCTCAACGCCCTCAGTACGTTATTATATAGGTATATATATATATATATATACCTGGCTGATGTTGCTGGTGTGTTTGTTACCATTGCCGTTGTTGCCGCTGTTTGCTGCTGTTGCTGCTGTCTGGTCGTCTGTGGAGCATCAAGGCACTGGGGCAGCGAGGCATCAAGTTCGCAATGGGCGACATGAGATGGCTAACACAGAGGCATACACACACACACACACAGACACATAAGCATACCAGCTAAAAAGATAGAGCGAAGAGCAACCGCAGTTACTTTTGGCTAAGACTGCATAGACAAGCCTCAATTAAGTTGCAATTGCAGTTGTTGCTGGTAAAGTTGCTCATGTTGTTGCTGCTGCTGCTGTTGCTGTTGTTGCTGCTGCTGCTGCTGCGTCTGATTTTGCTGCTGGGGAGGAAGCGTTGGCGGCATCGGAATTCCACTCTGGAGCTGCCCACGCGCGCGCTGCTCGGCTGCCTGTTTTGCTGATAAAGTCCGAAATGATGTACTACCCATGTGCTGGTGGCTTATTCGGTTTTTTTTCTTTTATTTTCCATTCCGCCAGTCTTCCAACTACCTCCCTCCTCCGCCTCCTTTTTCACCCACTACTGCCTGCTGCTTTTCTTCTTTTTACTATATTTCAGCACAGGAGCGCTGTCTCTTTAACAGAGGGGTCAAAAGTTAACTTTGATGTGGTTGAGTTAAGGGGGGAATTCTTAATGGGATATGGAAGTAATCTTATTTTTAGAGATAAGATTTTAGTGCTATGATTAAAAGTAAAATATATAAAAAACTCCTTAAATACATTTTCAAACTAACAATTTTTTTTATTATTTTCAATAATTTTGGTTGAAAACTTGCAACTAGCTAAGTTCCTTAATTCCTTTGCTGATTTTCAGATCTCTTGCTGATTAGTTTTCCTTTTAAACATAATTAAGTCTTGAATTGATTTCAGTTTCAGGAATATTGTGTTGTCCTTTTCATCATTTGCCTGCCTTACTACCTCTCCATTTCCCCAGTAACTGTGATAATGAACTTCTAATTATTCTTCTTATTACACCCCCCCCCTTCATGGCTGCTCCCTGGCAAGCGTAAATGGTGCCGCCACATCGGCACCTACTAAAGTGGATTGCCTTGGCGTTTGAGGAAATACTAATCCCATATTTTGAGCCTTCAACTTGATCTTGTGCAAACGCTGATCAATTTCACTGCAAATTTGTTCACTCAAAAGTTTCAACTCGATGAGTTCATAGTGGAAGTCATTGATATGAAGTCTTATTAAGGCCTGACGAAGATATCGACGACTATAGCGAAAACCACACGACATATTCGTTTTGGTAACAAGTAGAGCCATCTTCTTAGTTAACTTCACAGCATCCATAGAACGATGACGATTCTGGCAATTGCTAAGATCATTGGCAGCCACCTCAGTCCATTCCAAATGATCTAAGTTCAGGCTGCGCATGTTGGCAATCTGCCGTTCCAGACATGACCATTGATGACTCAATTTTCGTAAAATATTCTTAAGAACATCATAGCGACACAGGAGTTCTGTGATCTGACATTGGATATAGTGTTGAGCTCGTTTTATGCAACGAATCTCCGATTGCTTGGGATTGAGGCCATCACAGGACAAGTGATCCTCATCCTGTTGTGTCCCTTCGGTTGTGATTTCCATTTGCTGACGTCTACGGATCTGACATTGTAATATATCGATTCTCTTCAATATCTGATCCAGATCAAGAATGGCATTTCGTGTCTTTGTCTCCTCATCCGATGGAACTTCCTCTTCAGCCAAACCAAAGGGCAGTAGTTCTGTTTCCTCTTCCTGTGAGCTGTTCTCTTCCAGCACCGGAGGTGGCTCGTTCGATTTTGAAGATCTTTGGCTGGACCTTGAAACCAATCGTTTCTTAAACAAATGACAGTTTTTGGTCGTTCTGGTTATGATATCAATTTCATCCAATTTGGTATTTTGACAATCACCTAGATTATCTAGCAAATGCAAATCCTCATCGAGCATATAGTCTCTTGTCGCGAAATTATCAAATAGCTCTAGTACCGTTACCTTTTCCATATTGTTCTTTTAACAAGATTTTTCCTTTTCTAATTTTGAAGGCTTAGATTTTTAGTCGTACAAAATGTGTGTGCGTGTGTGCGTGCAAGTTTAGAAAACAATCGAAACAAGTTTGATTGCCAATCGAAAGCCTGCTTAAGGTTGAAGTCTTTTGGATTCCGCTCCTGTCTTTCTGACTTTGCGCTGATAAGAAAATTTATGGTTGCCCAGTTACTTTGGCGGCATAATTGCGCACCCACATCCAGAGCCCCACATCCAAATCCCCCAGAGAAGAAACACTCCACTCCACATGAAGTCCGGCAGCAGAAAATACTCGTAGTAATAGTAAAAAAATCAAAAAAAAGAAAATAAAAACAGAGGGCGGCGGCAGTGGAGAGAGAGAGAGGGGCTTGTGGGCTGGCTTTTGGCGTGTGGCTTCATCGCCAATTCTTCTAGTCAAGAGCCCTCCTCCCCACTCCTTCTGTAGTATTGCCCGGCAGTTGACTTTGTTTACCCGCAAGTTGTAATTTTCTGCGAAAACCGTCAGCCACAGAATTGCTTTTCTCCATCTCCATCTCGCCAGCTCACAGTCTTCTGTCTCTGATAAATCCCGCTTCTGTCTGTCTTCCACTCTGTCACCTCTCTTTCGCCCCTTTCTTCTGGATTTTCTTTCTTTCTTTCTTTTTTTTGTACCCTATTCTTCTTCCCCTTTTCGCCAATTGCAATTGGTGCCCTCCCCTCCCAATCACGGTCTTGCGGTGATCTTTCTTCTGGGCTTTGCCTTGCTAATTGCTTGCCAGAGATTCGGGCCTAGTCTTAGGACATGTCATCAGGAAAAAAAGTCATAGTATCTAAGACTTTTTTTTGGCAATTTTCATCTGACTTTTCTGGGAAAATCTTAACTTGATTTCATATACTAAAAAGATTTCTTTGTTTCTTTGTAATATTTTCAAGTTTTACTGCCAAAGAAAGGAATCGGAAAAATAAAGTTCAGTGTTTTTTTCGCGTAACATCAACGATTGACAGGCTTTTAGCCAACTTTGCTATTCCATTTGGAGCCTTCCATCCATCTAGCCATTGAGGCATCTGTTGAATGCTGAATTGTCACATGTGGAATTTCGCAGGTCTCTAAGAAAAAAAAAAACGCTTAAACGCATTTGCGAGCAGCGATAGGATACGAAAGCCCAAGAATGGGGTCAGGCTAAGCAAATAATTTCAGAAGCCTGGGATGAGGAAGGGGCAATGTTAAGATGAGAATTTCCAAAGATAAAAATAAATTAATGATTTATGCCATTTCGAAAAACAGAATTCCCACAACTTATATAATAATGTATTTTTTTTAATGTTTTTGTTGCATTTCATGGATGCAAAAACCAAGAAAAAGAAGAGGTTAAATCTCTAAGAGAAGCGAGAGAAAACTGTACCGCTAAGATGCCTAATTACATCCAAGACGAGTGATGACCGATGATGGCCATAAAAGTTCACATGATCCGATGATCTCTCGGGAGGCCTTGGTCATGCAGGAAGTTCAAGTGCGATGAGAATATATATCTATATATATATAGAAGAAGAAGAAGAAGAACAACAACAAGATGACTACAATCCCAGACATATTCATATATTCCGTCTACAGTTGACTTGACTCGACTCGACTTCATGGCCTGGTCAAATCTTGGTGGCTTCAGCTTCAGTAGCACCAGCAGAAGACACCAAAGAGGTAGATAAGCGATCATAAAATAGTAATAATAATAATAATAATATTAAAAAATCGCAGACACAGAAACAACTAAAAACAACAACAAGAAGAAGAAGCGAATAATGCAATATACATTAGATATAGAACAAGAACAAGTCTATAGAAAATTACGATTTATGTAACAAGTCGAGGAATTCAAGTGCATTTATTTCCGCATCTGGAACTAAGTGGAGAAGCGAGTGTATAAAAAATATAACTCAACTCTAAAGCTATAGACTTGTGGATATCCTGTAAGCCTACAGGATGATTCATTTTTATAATATTAGTTTGAGAAATCAACTTAAACTGATATCTTCTATTTATAATTATCATTTTAATAACTTAAATTCAGATTCTAACCTTTAACAAAGTCTTATATACCCCTCTTAAGATACCCTATAATAGCAACCTGCCGATCAAAAGCAAAGCAAAGAAAGCGATTTCTTTCAATGTGCAGAGTTTGCTATTGGGGGAGTAGGGGAAACCAGGATCCTATCGGGATGGGATCTGTGGTGTGCGCTAGTGCATCCATCAGAGCAGCGCCGTGAGTCAGTCAGTCACCCATTCAGTCAGTCATTCAGTCAGTCAGTTATTAAATGTGACCATAAGAAATAGAAACAACACCAGACACTAGACGCTGCTTAAAAAGGGGGGGAGGGGTTAGTTAAAGGGGAGTTATTACATAACAGCGGGCACAATTGCGAATGGGAATGTTGAATGTTGCAACAGCAACAGAGAGAGAACGAACAAACGAACGAACGTACGAACGATGAGGTGGACTTATAAAAATCATAGCGCTGCTGCTAAAGCGTAAAGGCAAAGAATTATAATTTTCCAATCAACTGATAAATTTTTAATGATCCGACGGGCCAGAGAGGACGAGACTTGGGGATCTCTCTAATATGTTGTCCAAAGTGCATGCTGGAATCCCACCGCGTTGATGATCATGATGATCAGCCAGCAGCAAGTTGGTTTGGTGGCTAATGATCATGGTATATATTGGACGCTTGGACATGTGTAAGAAACATTCCCATAGGTGTGATTGCCGGCGCGCAAGAACAAGTAAGACACCAAATTACTGTTACCTGGAAGACGACCGTCCGCTGTCCACTCCACATGGGCGGGTGGTAAATCCACAAAGAGGATGGGATTGAATGGGGGTAGGGAGGGAGGTAGTGCCGCGTTGTGGTGGTAGGTAAAGAGGCGCCGCAAATTCACTTGGTGACGAGTGGTGTGTGTGGACTCCTCAGCAGTTGCCATTGGCATTGGACCAAAAAGTTGTTTCGTGATCGATGCGGGCTTTTGATGCCCCCTGACTAGCTGCTTGATTGCCAAGCCAGACGCGGCACACCGTTCTTCACCCTCCCACTTCTAGCTGGATTTTCCTGGCTTTTCTGGCCAATTCTCCGGCAGATCCCATGCAAAAATATCCCCTCAGTCCCCCCCATATCTCCTGATGAAGTTGTCCATCTACCAGGGACTTAAGCGGAAACTTTTAAGCCTCGCCATTTGAAAAGTGCTCAATCAACGAATGACATAATAAAATGCCATATAGATAAGGATGTCTCAATATCCGCAATCTAAAACGTAATTCTAATATTTCGATTTCCAATTTTTCCATGAAAGTAATAATTACTTGTTGCCAAAATCAAAATCACAGGTTTTATGGGTGTTTTTACTTCATAATTTGGCTTAAAGTTATTCTACAGCAAAATAATTGAATAAAATCGCGTCTTTTTTGCGAGGATGGGGTTAAAATTAAGATTTTAAGCTGTGAATGCAGTTTCGTTAGAAATTTAATAACGATTCCAACGAGGTATGCCATTCCAGAGTTGGGTTACTATTGGCTTAGTTATGGGTTATGCCCACTGTGACTTAAAGGAGGAAAATGCGAGAAACCAAAGTTCGCCTTTTCATCAAATTTTGAGAAAAAATTATAAAATTGTACTTTTTTAACCTTGAATGCAGTTTTCTTGGAATGTTAATTACGAGTTCATCGAGGTATTACATTCTACTTTTGGGGCAATATTGGCTTAGTTATGAGCATAATACTGTGACTCAGAAGAGGAAAAGATGTAGAAACCAAAGGTTAAGATCGTCTTTTTTTGAGAAAATTGATAAAATTTAACAATTTTAGGTGTGAATGCAGTTTTGTTGGAAATTTAATAAAGAATTCAACGAGATATAGCAGTCTAGATTCGGCCCACTATTGGCTTAGTTATGAGCATAGGCATGAGTCTTTTTGGGAGGAAATAAGCAGACACCAAATTTCGCATTTTCATCACATTTTGAGACAAAAATTATAAAATTGTACTTTTTTAACCTTGAATGCAGTTTTCTTGGAATTTTAATTAGGAGCTCAACGAGGTATTACATTCCATATTTGGGTCAATATTGGCTTAGTTATGAGCATAGGTATGAGTCTTTTTGGTAGGAAATAAGCAGAAACCAAGTCTCGCATTTTCTATAAGACACATCACCTCTTTTGAGAAAATGAATAAAATTTAACATTTTTAGCTGTAAATGCAGTTTTGTTAGAAATTTAATAACGAATCCAAAGTGGCATGCCATTCCATATTAAGACCATTATTGGCTTAGTTATGCGTGAAAAACTTTCATTGTCATAAAAAATCGCAAAAAGTGAACATTGAGGCATTGACTAGTTTTAGGACCATCATCAAGACTTCGTCTTTTGCCAAAAATTTAAATATTTTCTTACGGTAAACAGTAAGTATTTTGTAATACCAGAACCCTTACATTTAATGCTAACATTTTATCTTAAGATTTCTCTACAATTTCATCTAAGTTTTTTCGTGGCTGTCCAGTCCAACCCCTTCTAGTTTGGCCATGGGAGAATTCGCATTTTGGCAACCGATCGATTGCGACCGTTATTTAATAAGGAAATTTTATCAGGCAAAAGGGGTGGTGAGTGGATGGTGTGTGGTGGGGGGAAGGGGGGTGGGGTGTCTATTGGCCAGACTCAGGTGGCGATGTGTGTCCATGTCCATGTCCAAGTCGAAAGGCGCCAAAAGCTCGCAACGTTTTTCATTTCGTGCCCGCAGCCGTTGCACGCATACAAATTACGAATGCAAATGCGAAATCCCAGACCCAAGTTTTTCCCGCTTAACCCCTTTGGGCTCAAATGCCGCCGCCCCCCCCTCTCTTAACCCCTTGCAATGGTGGTAAGCCTCAAGGAAAAGGCGGATCGAATGGACAGCAAATTGTTCGCACGCTTCGCTCCCAGGTAAAATGAAAAAAAAAATAAAAAAATAAAAAGAAAATCGAAGAGAGGGTCTTTTCTATAGTAAATGCGTTTGGGATTTTCGCGCATTTTCTTTTATTTTTCAATTACGACGTGTTCGAAGTGAGACAAAGCCAACACACACACACGCGGATATACACAGAGAGTCGGAATAAGTAGGCACTATAAAAAATAGTAGGGAAAAAGTCAGGGCAAGTTTATACCATAAAATGATTTTCTAAAATATTTTTAAGAAAGTTTTCCTTGTCTCTAGATTTATTCGAAATATTAACCATAAAATCTTTTAATATTTATTATTATTTTGT